CCAGCGTCATCTAGTGGTTTCCTGTAATTTGCATATTCTTCTTCAGGATGTGTGTGATAATTTTACAGGTGAAATTTTGATTTTAGAGTTTGATTTCCGTGTGATTCTGAATTATCCTTAATTTATGGACATGAGTGTAATTAAATTTCGAAGAGCTTCCAGATATCACAAAATCTGTGCTAGAGACGTGCCAGGTAAAGGTTTAATCGAAGTTCGGAATACACGGCCTAACAGCTAGTATGCTGATCTGAGATTTGTAAAAAACAACATGGTTCTAGTGCGGTCTATTTTGGGATTCTGGCTCTCTCCGTATCTTAAATAACAATAAAACAATCTTTTCGAAAAAGTCTAAAAAAATCATGATAATTGTTTGTTAACTTTATCTTTATTTTCATAAAACATTTCACTTCAACATTAATGTTTCCTTGAAAGGAAGAAAAATTAAATATTTTTTATCGGTACTTTTCAATAGTCCCCTATTTTTTTCTTATTTTTTGCTTAGAAGTTAAATCTTAAGTTTAAATATATTGTTACCTAAAAGAAATACAAGACATCGCAAAATGAGTATTAGAGACGTGCCAGGTAAAGGTTTAATTGGAGATCGGGATGCATGGCCTAACAGCTAGTACTCTGATCTTTGATTTGTAAAAAACAACATGGTTCTAGTGCGACCTATTTTAGGATTCTGGCTCTCTCCGTACCTTTAATAACGTTAAAACATTCGTTTCGAAAAAAGACTTTAAAAAAAATTATGATTAGTGTTTGTTAAGTGCATCTTTATTTTTATAAAACTTCTTACTTCAAATTTAAATTTTTTTCGTGAAGAAGAAAAATTTCATTTTTTTTCCGGTCCTTTTCAATAGTCTCCAATTACTTTATTATTCTCTGCTTAGAAGAAAAATCTTTAGTTTAAATATATTGTTACCTAAAAGAGATACAAGACATCGCAAAATGAGTATTAGAGACGTGCCAGGTAAAGGTTTGATTGGAGTTCGGGATGCATGGTCTAACAGCTACTACTCTGATCTTTGATTTGTAAAACACAACATGGTTCTAGTGCTCTTGGTTTCGGGATTCTTGTTATCTCCTTAATCTATAAAACAAAAAGATAATAGTTTCGAGAAAGTTTAGAAATTAATAATAAATTAAATTTTTAGAGAATATATTAACATTTTTATTCTTATGTTTTTCTCCTTAATGTTTTTGTTTATAAAATGAATATTCAATTATTAATTTGTAGATTTAAATTATAAAACTTACCGTCAAACGGGGTGACTAAGCTCCATGCGGGTTGACTTGGTGCCGTCCTGGTTCTTCGAACTCAAGCGGCTGATGGCAACAGAGGAAGGAACCAATCGAAAAAGGAATACTACCGCTATAGCTATAGCGGTAGTTTTCCTTTTAAATGCCTTTGACCGGTTAAATGCCTTTAAGGGCTTTTAACCGGTCTCTCCCCGTGATTGCGTATTCGAGCCCTGCGATCGCCAATCGAAATGTTTGCAACGAAATTCCAAATCGTAAAAAAATTTTGTATAAAGAAAATAAAATGATGAGAAATACCTTGACGTCATTGATAACAGTGAATGTTAATTATAATCTAAAGCTTTAATATGGGTCAGCGCTTAAGTGCCTCGCCCTCTCTCTATATATAGTATACTATATATCTATATCTATATACTATATATCTATACTATATATCTATATATAGTATACTATCTACTCTCTATATATAGTATATATATACTTTTTATATATATATATAAAAAATTTACTGTGGTAACTTGTATTTACAACTGAGCACTATTTGAGATTTAAGCCCTCTAGATAGTTGAAATGCGGTGGTTAATTTGATTCACTATAAATTCCATCTGTAAACAAATTTTGCTTGTAGCTGTCGGGTAGCCATTTAAACTTCTATTGTCATTCATCACTGAATTCCAATTAAAATATGTGCTCACAAAGTAGTCGAAAAATGGTGTAAATTTTGATACACTATTAATCTCTCTGTGACGATGAAAATGGAAATAAATCCTACTTGCAAAAGTCAGCAAACAATTTAAACTTATTTTTCCATTGAGAGCAAAGCTCCAGTCAAAATATGTGCTCTAGCTAATCAGAAAAGAGTCGAGATTTCCACTAACGATAAAATGGAGTTAAGTATACTGTTCATAGTGATCAGGAAATAAGTGAAACTTGCATATTGCAGACTTGCTAGTCATCAGGTATGGGTCTGCAATAGAGTTTTAAATGCTCTAAGTAGCGGGAAGGAGTTCAAAATTAGATTGCAAGATTTGCCCATTTACAGATCTCAAAGAAACAAGTTAATCGTAATAACTAAACTAACAACAGTGAGGGTGAGTTTTGAAAGATCTTTTTCAATTTAAAATATTTATTTTAAGTAAAAAGAAATATTTTTTGAAAGAGTTTGTTAAAAAAATATATATTTACGAGACAGATGATGAGATATTCACCATTTTCGAATTTATTATTATTTTTTTAATTAAATACTTTTAATTGTACACTAATGTCTTCAAGATATATTACTTAAAATATTTGCTAGAAAATAAGTATATTTAGAAAACTATAAGAAATTTTAATTTTACTAACTTTAGATGCGGAGACAATTACCTTTTGCAATGTATCTAAGAAAGAAAGGTAGGAGAAAGGGTGGGAAAAAAATTTGGTTAAGATTCCCGCAAAGTAAGCGGGTGTGCCTTAACCGTATGTGTGTTATAGGCCCAGAGGCCATTCCGTCCTTGTCAAGGGGAGTGCTAACCTTCTCTCCTTTCATATAACACATACTAATAGCAAATCACGCAAATATATATACTGGTAAATAATGCAAAGCAAAAATAGTGGTAGTTTAATATTTTAATATTTAATCACTAATTTTTGGATATTTTCACTAATAATAATATACTCACTAATTTTGGAAATATATATTTTTTATTCAAATTTGTTGTTTAGATCACATATTGTCTTAATTTTAGTAGTAGTTTATCAATAGATTAAGTATATAAAGATTTCAGGGATTTTGATTGAGCACTCCGTGAATAGTAACGCCTACTTTCAACTCAAGTTGAACTTTAGTTAAAAGTAGGTGTAACTTAAGTTGTAAAGTAGGCGTAACATGAAAGTAATGACAACGCAAGGTACAAGAGATACTCTTTTTTCCCCCCAGTTCCGTTGCTAGAGATTTTTGAACGTTTCTTAAATATTTATACATTTTTTCTATACATGCTACAGTTTTCATGCAATTTAATAATATGATGTAGAGCAGGATTTCTTGAAAATTATTTGAGTGAATACTAACCATACCCACTTCTCTGCTATGTCTCCTATGTACTTCTCTGCTCAAAGAGGTATGAGATAATACATTTCAGTTAATGATGCGATATGTAAAGGTCACAGGGTTTTTTTCTTAAGTGTTATTTTCAAAGGAGTAGACAAATGCACATATATATATATTTAAACATATACGATCTTTATGGGTTTACATTCACGCAAAAGATAAAATAAAAAAAATATTACTTTGAAAAAAAAATTAGCTTTCCAAACAAAATTAATTTTAGATTTCAAACATCCCACCAGATACAGGTTAGATCAAAAACTAGTATATAAGCTACAAAAAATTATACTAGTGTAATTCCCACATTTCAGGGTTCACAAATACCTCTGATGAGCAACTTATGGTAAAGCAACTTATAGTAAAAAAGTATGTTATGTGTTTTCGCCTCATTCTTGTATGCAATTAAATGTTTGTTAAAATTTAATTCTGATTAAATTCAATATTTACTAATTTTTTTTTTTTTGGTTTTGACATATAAATGTTATCTAAACTTTAAGTAAATAAAAGTGCATAGTACCTTTAACTAATTATTGAATCGTTAAAAATTTCTGATGTCCCAATGTAAAATTATTTTTACATTACAAAAAATAATTGCAAATTTTTTTAATTAAAATTCATAGAAGCTTTTTTTGTTTCCACTCTCTGATAATATTCCTACAGGTGCCTTTAGGTTTTGTTTCTAGTGTTTCGTAAGTAAAATTTCAGATTCTACAAGGATAAAGTTACGTAAGTATTTCTCTGTTTAATTTCAGTGATAGAAGTGAAATAATTTATGCAAGTAATTTGAATATTTTTAAATTTTCTTCATAGTGTAAGTTATTACAAAAAATAACAATTTAAAAATTTGAGATATAATTTTATTTTAATATTTTTGGAAATGATATATACTAGTAGAAAAAAAAGTTAAGGTAAATTTTCAACTCAATTCAAATGTATATTTAACTTAGCAATTATGTAGTGTGGTTTTCTTAATTTACAATTTCAGAATATAAATGATGATTGATAATTGTAAAATTACAAATGGCTTAAATTACAAATTTTAAAATATATTGCAAACTAACAAATTCAATTGAGCTTTTGATAAAATAGGCTCTTTTTTTTAAAAAAAATAAAAAATTTGAGAGTACATTTTAAATTGGGACTTGAAAATTATTAATGATATAAAATTTGCTTTAATACCCATTGTATGAAGAAATGAAAAAAAAATATCAATAAAAGTTGCAACAAAATATTTCCTAATTAAGTTTGAAATATTAAAAAAAATCAACTGAACATAAGATATACTTTGGAGTAAAGAGGAGAAAAATGGAAGGTAGCAGAATTTGCTAATATAACTTTATTNCGTTTCATAAATAAATAAATAAATAAATAAATAAAATATTTAAAAATTAATAATCAAACAAAGATATTTAATATTTCTCCGACACAGATAACGTGAACTATTTTTATTTTCAGCAAAAGTTTTATCTCCTTTTAAAATCAGAGTTATTAAGTTTAAGCTCTTCACTTTTTCCAGAAAATTCAAGTAATAAAAGAAATTAACTGCTTTAAAAAATGTGCAAGTTTAGAAATTAAACCTTCTAGCAATCAATGAACATTCATAATAAATATCGTAAAATTAAAAAGTAATATTAAAAAAACCTGTTCCTGTACTACCCTTAATGTCAGAATTTGTTCACTTTTTTTCCTTTGTATTTAAAAAATAACAACTGATTGAATCGAGAGAATTATTTTAAGTAAAAAAGAACTATTCATGCGAATCTTAAAAAAATTCTTGAATCAGATTAAATAAGTCTCCTACTGGTGGCTGAGTCAGCCAATCTGGTATACTCCCCATACAAGCTATCATCGAAGCCACCCTCCCTAAAATGCTCTCTTCTTGTTTCCATAGCACCAGACTGCCGCAGATTTTGTGGCGGACAGAGTACCTATCGTAGACAAACAGTACTTCTCTGCTCAAAGAGGTATGAGATAATACATTTCAGTTAATGATGCGATACGTGAAGGTCACAGGTTTTTTTTCTTAAGTGTTATTTTCAAAGGAGTAGACAAATGCATATATATGTATTTAAACATATACGATCTTTATGGGTTTACATTCACGCAAAAGATAAAATAAAAAAAATATTACTTTGAAAAAAAAAATTAGCTTTCCAAACAAAATTAATTTTAGATTTCAACCATCCCACCAGATACAGGTTAGATCAAAAACTAGTATATAAGCTACAAAAAATTATCCTACTGTAATTCCTACATTTCAGGGTTCACAAATACCTCTGATGAGTAGTGAATGAAGTAGTGCAATTGCCTGAATAAAGATAGTGGGATTCTCCTGGTGCTGATTACCCGTGGGTAACCAGCTGAAAGAAAGTTGGCACGCGGTAGTATTCTGACTTCTCTACCGAAGAAGGTTTGGATTTTAGTAAACAGTTTATTCCAGAACCACTGCGGTTCAGGTGATAGAACGCTCGCCTCCCAATGATGTGTCCCAGGATCGAATCCCGTCTTTGGCATATGAATTCTGCTCCCATCTCGCAACAATCACCCGACTGACATAAAATATCTTCACTGGTTAGTTCCATCAACTCCAAGGCTTGTTTGTCCCACAGTGATTGATTCAGAAGTTCCCTTGTCTTCTGGATTGGGTTAAAAATTGTAAAACTATGGCGTTGAGCCTTGATAGTCGTTTATTCAGAATTGAGTCAGCTGCTCAATGCATGTTATAAAATAAAATATAAAATCATTTCTGACTCTCCGAAACGTAAATTTTGCCTCACTCCGTGTGAATCAAATGCAGCAAGAATGTACGCATTCTCTTGACCAGGATTTATATTCTTATTTAATATATGCTTTAACTGCAACTGCGCATTAAATAAAAACTAGAACTATGGCGGTTACCAAGGTATGGCTAGAAATTTAATGTTGTACTATTTGAAATACTAATGATTACTTTTTCATTTTGTTAAAATTCGCACTTTTGTAAACACATTCCATTTTCTATTACTGATCTCTAATTTCAATCATTATTTCGAATTGTTTTCTGCTTAATTTAGGTATTACAAAGTATTTGCATCGGGAAATTACTACATGATCCCTGTATTCACCTTTCTGTTAAGCAAGGGAGCGAAACTCCGAAACCAAAAACATTCAAATCCTTATTTCGAGGGTGTAAACACAATTGACTATGTTAATGTTAATACTTTTTTTACACTATCCCCTTAAAATTAGACTATTCAATGTTGATTTCTTTCCTGAAAATCGATTAATACTCTATTGATCGATTTGAGTCAAGTTTTTACATGAAAATACAATGTTTTTAAATTAATGCATACATTAAATTCATTATTTCTCAGGATTATTTTTTATTTGTTGTTCTATATTTCCTTCGATGCTTTTTAATTAGCTACATGTAAATAACTAAAAAATATTACTTTATTTCTTTGAAAAATGATTTTACAAAAATATTTTTAACGAAATATATATTGCACGTATAATTATTTTAAGTAAAATTATTCAATTTCCTGTTACCTTAGTGTAAATGGAGAGCTATTTCCTTCATGAGCAAATACTCTTTAATTTGTGATAAACTGATGTATATTATAAATGATATGTAAATTTCTTTTATTAATACAGGATTCAAAAATTAATTTAAATCTGATTTTTCTGTAAGTTTACTGAAATTGTAATAAGTGTTATGTTTTCTTACAAAAGAAAACAATATTTCTTATCTCTTACTGTGGGAAGATTTTTTTATTGTGATCTGCTGTTTAATAATCACCAAGTCTTGCCAACTTTCGTGTGGCGGCCTATGAGAAACTGTAAAAAGTATATATAAATAAATAAAATAAAAAATTAACACGAAAGGGGACCAACTTAAGGGTACAACTGGCATCCACCCCTGGTCAAACCTCTATATGTTTTTTTCTCATTAAAATTTGCAAGTTTTAAATCCATTTGGCTTCTTTGCGATTGTAAGACAGGGAGGGGTGACATGACAGGGAGGCATGACAGACAGGGGTCTGACTAGGCCAAATTTATTACTGTTAGGCAGTGACCTTCACAAATTCAATTTAAGGAAAAACGGTAGTTTCACAAAATACTTTTTCTTAAAATTTCATTTTTGTATTTTGTAAGAAGCGATGAATTTATATTTTTACCATATTTTTGTGTTGATTTTTTAATTATGATTTTTTTTCTCACAAATTATGTGTAAATTTTCACAAAAAAGGTACCACTCAGAAAAACCTAGACAGACCCCTGACCAGTGCCGGATTACCCATTAGGCCAGACTAGGCTATGGCCTGCGGGCCCCAATGATTAGGGGCCCCCTTAAAATGGATTTTTTGAAAAAAAATTAAGAAAAACAATGATTTAAAAAAAAATCAATTTCAACTATGTATGTTATGATTATAAAATGTTATGATTATTTTTTAGTTCTAATTTAACAAAATAAAGTAAAATTCAATTTATTATTATTTATTTTAATTTTAAATATGCTTTCTTGAATGAAAGATATATAAATACTTTTATATTTGAATGAATAAAAAATATATGAGAAAAAAATATAATCTAAAATATAATCTAACTTGTTAGAAGTGAGCAGTCTTGAGACTGTTAATTTTTTGAAGAGTATTGAATAAAATTATTGTTCAGTACATTTTAAATGGTCACTAATTTGAAAAGATATGTTTGTTATACTTTTTAAAAAAATTTCTTATGAGCATAAATAATTAGTCATATATTTTTAGGAAGCAATTGTTATTATTGTGGATGTGGTTGAAACAGATGAAAAAGAAAAACAACTATGGGAAATAGAAAGTGCAAAAAGTTGTGTGAATATGATTATTCAAAGAAAGGCAAGAATTATTGATTATTTTGTGATAGTGCTTTTTATTTTTAAATGATTGAATATTTTTTTTTCTTTTTTCCAGGGCAATTCCGTAGAAAGTAAGACATAGTGCCTTTTTTTTTTTTTTCAAATTGAGTTGAAATACTCTTTATTATTTTTTAGTTAAAAGTAAAAAGAAAATTTAACTTAGACAATTTTTCATAATTTTCTAGAAGCTGAATGGAGTTTTACCAATTTTTTCTCTTATTTAGATAAGGAGTTAAAATTACTTTTTGAAATATGCACATATCCTGGTCCCTTTTAAGATTCATATTTAAGAAAAAAACTATATTTATTTAGATTTTGATTTTTTTTAAATTATTATTAATAATATGTATTATTGTGTAACAGGCCACAACTAATTAAAACTCAGCTGAAATGAAAAATGTAATCATATAATTAGTAGCCAAACATTACAGAGCTAAAATTTTCTGTTTTACCCTTAATTTGAAAACAAAGAACTGTAGACAAACATGATTGTTTGAAAGGCACATGGTTTAATATAATTTTGCTTTGTTTAATTTCAGATATTTTCAGAATCAAAAGATGAAATAGCTCTGGTTTTATGTGGCACAAAGGAAACATGTAATAAGTTAGCTGATGAAGGTGATGTTGAGTTCTCAAATGTTGAAGTTGTTCAAGAATTTAAACCTGCAAATTGGGAATTGTTGGAATATGTAAACAAGATTAAAAGTTCTAATGTTTTTGTTCATAGTATCCTTTATTTATTATTTTTTTAATGTTTTTCTTATTCTCTCTTTTAAGTGATTTTTTATTTTGTTTTGATATACAATGTAATCCTTAATAAGATTAAGATATTAAGGACAATGCTTTGCTAGTTGCAATAAATTTATTGCTTTGCAGTACAAGCACAAAAAAGTTTTTCTCTAAAAGAATACTTTTCTTATCAACATTTGACAATCTGTTTGGTCATAAGGCAAACCTTATTTGTGAACAATTAAGAGAAAATAAGATAGAATTGAATCTTATGTAAGTAACACTACAATATTTTAGTTACTTGAGTTTGTTTCTTTTTAATTGGTTCATATGTAATTTGTTTAAAAAGTTTTATTTATATATTTGTATAGACTAGTACTACATGTTATGAATATTAGTTAAAAATTTAAAAAATTTTGCTTCTCACTATTAATCTAACTGATTAAAAAAACATTATGATGTTGTGTGTTTAAAAACAGTTTTAAAAAATGTGAAAATATAAAGATCTGTGGCAGGGTTTCTTCAACATTAAGTTATGAGCAAATGCTTGGTGGTTTCATTCTCATTATAACTGTTATTATAACTGCTCATTATATATTTTATTATTTTTTATGCAAATATACTTCATTTTGACGTATGGAAATATTTTAAAAATATTGTAATTTCTAAACTTAAAAGAACTTTTTTCCAGGAGGTTGATTTAAGTTACAAATGTTTTTATGTATGTTCAGTAGACTTTGGGTTAACCGGGATGGTTGGGAAAGGTTATATAGATGGATAAGTGGATATCCTGGATAATCCAATTTATGCAAATTTTAATAGTTTACCCCACTGTTTTGTAAAGAATGAATTTATATAAATTTGATTTTGTTTTTTATTTACTTTTTGATGAATTTGATTATGCAAATTTAATTAATTACAACATAATTTTTTGTGGGGGACTCCGGATAAACAGTAACTCAGATATTCTGATCCTATATAATAGGAATCTACTATAAATATTCTCACAGAGCCGTAGTTATTCAGGGGATAGAGCGTTTGTTCTCCCTTATAATGAACCGGATTTGAATCCCAACAATGGCCAGTGTATACAAATTCTGCGCCGGGCTCGCACCGACCACGGTGCTATTGTAAAATATCCTCAGTGGTAGACGGATTATGGGTTAGGATGCAAGAGTTTCCTCGATTACCAGTTATCAATTACCAGTTATCAATTACCAGTTATCAATTATGTTCCATAACTTTGTCACAAAATCTGGTATTGAATAGGAAATCGTATAATTATTTTTGTTATATAAAAGCTGTAAGCGATAGCAAGTAGAGGGCTAGCTTCTTATTCCTAAAAAATTATAAATTAGAGTTTTATTTCTTAATAAGTTTAAAGGATTAGTTTTTGCTATTTCTTTATAATTTTTGGTTAATTGAACTTCCATTTTATTAGTTTTAATGCACATTTTCAAAGCAGTGAAATTAAAAATTGTATTTCTTACTGCTTATACTGAAATATTTATCACAAACATTTATCCTATTAATAAAAGTGATTGTACCAGAAGAAGTTTAAATTTGCTTAAGACGTTATGATGAGTATTTGTTAAATAAATAAAAAACAAATCATTTAAACTGTTTATCTTCTGGATTGGTTTCAAAATTACAAGGATACGGAGTTGAACATTAGTAGTCGTAAACCCAAAATTGGGTCGGTTTTTCAATGTGGGTTATAATTTAAAATATTGTCACAGATTTTTGGGTACTTTTTTGTTAGCTGGGCTTAAGTAAATTCAACTATTTCTTTTTTAATTTTAGTGTTAAAAAAATATTTGCATTTACTTGCACCATGTTAATGAGAGTCCCTGTTTTTCATATCTAATACTCTACGTGAATATTTCAAAAATGTGTTATTTTTATAATCATTTGTAATTATTTGTGATTTATGATTTTTAAGTGGTCCTGTGTCTTGTGATGACATTCAAAATGGCAACAACTTGCAACAGTATTCTCATAGTATGGTTCGGAATACTTTAAAGGAAGTGAATGGAGAATCTTATTCTTTCAGGTATTTATGTAAAAATTTTCCTTTTTAGAAACTAAAATTCCAGTTTGGCTGGAATATCTGGTTTTGATTATTTAGAATATTTGAGCATCAGATTTTATTAATTAAGAAAATTCCAATTTTAAAGTAAAATTATTTACAAAAGATGTATTTTTGAATAACAAAATTTTATAAAAATTTATATTTGGACTAAATATACTTAACTTTGAACTAAATGAACTTTATAATAAAATATTCTAATATTTCTTTTTTTTCCTAACAGTATTTTTTAATTCTTATATTTAAAATTTTATCACTGTATTAAAATAACATAGTATTTGGTTGTCTAGTGTTAACCTTTTTTTTTTTGTTTGTCTTTATTACAATTTTTTCTTCACTTTGTCATAACATTTTTCGAACATTATTTTCTGTTTTAGTGAAGCACTACCTGCTCTTATTTATTATCAAAAGAAAAAAGTTCAAGCCCTTCCATGGAATGCCAATTTAGATATTGGAACTAATCTTACTATTCCTATTAGTGCATATATCAAGGTAATAGTTTGAACTAATTTCACCTCTAATTGTTTAGTTTATATAGTGTAATTGACTTTTTGTGTGTGAAACAATATCTAATGTTCTTTTAATATTTATTTGTCTTTATTTTCTCTTTGAGTAATTAAAAAAATTGATTACCAGTTATCAATTATGTTCCATAACTTTGTCACAAAATCTGATATTGAATAGGAAATCGTATAATTATTTTTCAGCGGTAGAAATTAAAAAAAAAAAATTACTGGTCCATAGGACCAGTAACTAAAACATTTTACTAGTCCGCACAAAACTTTACTGGTCCGTCTACGCGTTCCTATTAGCTGCAAATAAAAAAAAAAATTAAAATTTTTGATTGAAAAAATCATGATTTTTTTTTTAAAAATCAGAAATTTCTGGAAGAAAGAAAACTTCTGACGATCGGGAACGAAGAGAGAGCCTGAAATAACGAATCATCAGGCCGCATCGTCGATTGACAATGACGTCATGAACCAACCCCACTACCTCCCCTATTTCTCTCCTTCAGCGCCGATGTAACGCATGCGCAAAACAAGATTTAACTTTGCCTTCCTCACGCGCGCTTGCTTCCTTTTTTTACGTAGATCGCCTGCGAATTGACCCTAGGCTGCGACGAATGGTGCACGTCATGAACCCACCCCGCTACCTACCCTATTTCTCTCCTTCAGCGACTCAACATGTGACGCATGCGCGAAACAAGATTTAACTTCGCTTTCCTCAGGTTCGCGCGCTAGCTTTATTTATTTTTTTTAAATCTTTGTTTTTTACAGAAATCTCGCACGCTAGTTTTTTTTTTAAACGGCGATCGGCTGCGACGGATGGTGGTCCGGCGGACCACTGTTTATTATTTTATGCTGGTCCGACTCCGATTTTAGTGGTCACGGACCAACGGACCACCGTTAATTTCGAGCCCTGTTTCTGTTATTTAAAAGCTGTAAGCGATAGCAAGTAGAGGGCTAGCTTCTTATTCCTAAAAATTATGAATTAGAGTTTTATTTCTTAATAAGTTTAAAGGATTAGTTTTTGCTATTTCTTTATAATTTTTGGTTAATTGAACTTCCATTTTATTAGTTTTAATGCACATTTTCAAAGCAGTGAAATTAAAAATTGTATTTCTTACTGCTTATACTGAAATATTTATCACAAACATTTATCCTATTAATAAAAGTGATTGTACCAGAAGAAGTTTAAATTTGCTTAAGACGTTATGATGAGTATTTGTTAAATAAATAAAAAACAAATCATTTAAACTGTTTATAGGTAAATGAACACAAGCAAAAATCTTGGAAAAATGCTTATGCTCGCAAGCTAAATGCTAAGTTAGAAAGAGACACTATATATCTTATGAATGACGAAGATCAAACTAAAGTTCCTAAAGATAACATCATACCAGGTATGAATTAAATGTTTATGTAAATATTTTTTGATGGATGTGCTACCACTTAATTTTATTTGCATTGGCTATGATTTTTTTTTAAAGCATATTTAAATTTAATGCCAGGGCTTAGTCTGATATAATATTTGTATTAAAAAATCTATCTTTTTTATTTTACTGTTTAAAAAACTTATTATTTTTATTTTTTGTAGCCTTTAAGTATGGTACAACTCTTGTTCCTTTTACTGAAGAAGACAAAGCAAATATGGATTATCAGTCGGGCGAAAAAGGAATGAAGGTGCTTGGTTTTACTAAAGAAGAAAATGTATGTTTCCATGTGTGGTCTTAAACAAATAAGTTATCAATTTAAAACTTTTTTGTTTAGATTAAGAATTTTAGTTATATATTAAATAAGACTTTATTTAATATATACTTATATAATAAGTATATATTAAATAGGACTTTTTTAAAATTTCTGTTTGAAGTGATTAAGCTCNTTTTTTTTTTTTTAACTGTCTTTTCAGAGCTAAGTTTTTCCATTCAGGGAAGAGTGATTATTATTTATTGAAACATTGCAGATACTGTTTTTTTTTATATCATATGATGATAAAAAAAAAAGCTGTAATGCATCAATACTCAATCCAAAATGATTCAAGACTTAATTTTTCTCTTAATCTTAAAAGTTTACATAAGTAGTATATGGGGGGGGGGGGCTACAGGACACTTTGCCCCTTCCTCATATACTACTATTAATTTCCTATTTTTATATTAAAAAAATTTAAAATAGACCTATATTTTGCATTTTTATATGAAATATTATGTAAACTGACACTAAATTGTCATTCACTTAGTAAAGTTTATTGTGTATCCCACCATACTTTTCCATTCATATTACCTCTAAAACATTTATTTAACTGCTGAATTTCCTGTTGTGTGTTAATAACCTTTTTTTAAAAATTATCTCGAAAAATATCATACACATATCAATGAACAGATAACAGAATACAAACCTTCCTTCCTCATGAAAATGTGTTCATTTTGGACTCAATAAATTGTGAAATTTTATAGTTTTTGGTTTATTATATTATGTATAATTAAAAATATGGTTTCTAACACATTACGAAATTTCACCATTAAAAAAATTTTTTTAAGAAGATTTGAATAAGAGATTGAAATGATTTTGTCTGAAAGACATATGTGTTCATATGTCCTTCTCTTTCCAAAACAGTATTCACTTATTTTTATTTCTATTTGATCTGAATACTATAAAAATATAAGGTAGTTTATAATTATGTTGTAATTCATAAAAAAAAAAAAAAAATTGTATTTTTTTCAAGTAAATTATATTTATTTTTAATTGTATTTTTTGTATTGTAGATAAATGATTTTAATTATACAAATGTTGTATTCGGACGTTATCAGTTCAATACCTCTGCCAAAATTGAATTTGTCAAACTTAAAGGAAAAGTGCATATAATTTCCTTATTTTATTTTAATGTTACATTTGAATTCCATTTGATTATAATTAAATATGTATGCCTACAATGTATATTTAACTTTTCTATTTCTTTAGTTTTCTAATGTAGATTAATGTTGCTGCACCAAAACAATTCTTTTTTTTCCTGATAATTGATAAAGTTTATGGAAAAATGTTTTCAAATAATTACTTATATTTAGTGTGATTTTTTTTAATTCACATTTGTTTAGTTAAAGAAGTTGAATTTACTATTCTTTATAAGGTTTTGATTGAAAAAATGGTTTGAATGGATTAAATTTTCATTAAGTGGAAGAAATAAATGAAAAATGATTTATTATTTCATTATCAGATACATATTCATTTAATTTGATTTTCATAATTTATCACTAAATGTTTTTATTTTGTATTTTTAGGTTCATCGTTATCATTATATCGGAGATAAATCTATGTATGTATTTGGTCAGAAAAATAGAGAGGTGAGGATAGTTTTATAATTTCACTTTTTAATGATTGGGGCAAGTACTGTTAAAAAAAACTGTAATTAATTCACTGGCTGTAATTTTTTATGTACTTCCAATTTTGAATTATTCTTTTTTTTTTGTAAATGTATGTATTTTTTTCTTTTCTTAAGAATTCAAGCTTGAGAATCTGTTTTCAACTGTTACAAAGCAATATTTTTTAGGAAGAAAAATTAGTTATTTTTTGGTTGATATTGTAGATATTCACAACTTTTTTCATTGAAGGGCTTCTTAAGCAGCAGGTTGTCTAAGAAAGGGCCGCACGCATATTCAATCATGTTAGCGTCAAACATAATAATTTTTATGTAAACATTAGTGTTCTAAGTTTTTTACCAGTAAACTTAGTAATGTATTTGCAGAACATTAAATACTTTTTTCAAAAATGAAAAAATGCTCTATTCAAATATTTTTTCCCTTTTTATCAATAATTTGATGATCAAAAAAAGGAAAAAAAAGAATATGTATATATATCTATATATAAATTTTGGGGAAAAGAAATATAAATTCTAGTAAAAAAAAAGAGAAAAAAACTGTAATGCACACAAAATATCAGTGTAAGAGGAAAAATAAAACATTCTTTAATGAATAATATAAAATCAAATTAAATATTTTATATAAAGAAAATTTATAAGATTTAAACAAAAATCATAAAACAAGATATAGTGCAAAATAAGATTCCATATTTATTTGGTATTATACTTCAGATATCTTAAATTTTTTGAAGGTTTTATGAATTTTAAATATGAAACATTTTCTTTCTAAAAAATCCCCTAAGCTACAAAACTTATAAAAACAAACAGTGAGCAGTTTAAGAGCAGTTAAAGTTTTTCTCCACTTTTCTAATATTTCTTGTTGCAATAATATTGTATCAAAATATCGAAATTCTAAGCATCACGTGCAAATGTATGTTGGTAATTGCTGAAAAACTACAGAAAAAAAACTTATATTTACGTAGAATTAAGCACAAATTAACTGAATCAAAAGTGATTATTGAAATGCGCGATTAATAACTCGCGTGTCGTAATGCTTTCATAGTGAAAATAATGGGATTGTTAAATTTTTGAAGTAGCACTATTTAAGCATTAAAGTTATATTGTTGCTTTATCAGTTTCATGTAAAAGAATATACAATAATTATTATTTACTTATTATTTCATTTATATAATCGTGATTAGTAGAATGAAATAACGTACATGATAAAAATGTTACAATATTTACCAGACGTCACTGTAATAAATATTCAAGATCTCTAAAAATATTCCCTAAAACCAGAGTGTGTACAATCCTTAAAAAACTTTAAAAGTGGTAGGAAATTAAATGAAATAAAAAATATATTTTAATAAGCTTATGTTCACCATATTATGCTTCATATTTTCAAATAAATATATCTAGTCGAGAAATCTTTTGTGTTAAATTTTTATTTTACGGTGCAAGCTAATAAAAATGTATTTGTAACTTCGCTACTAGAAGAGTAACACTACTAATTAAATTTCCTAAGGACTGTAGAAACCCTGCCTAAAACATTAAAAATTTGTTGAAAATCAAAGTATAAAATTACTATATATAAAAATAAGATAAAATTCAAAAAGCTATAGAGAAAACCATCAGTAGGTTATATACATTCATTTATTATTATTATTTTTATGTTGATCAAAAAAAAGGAGGTAATTATCCATGTTAACTAGTTACTTTTTTTTTCTTTGAATTTCTCAAGCTCTGTTTGTTACTTTTCTTCAAGCTGAAATTAATATGCATGATTCTCTCATTATTTAGGAGCATATATTGTTTTTATGACAATTTTAATTTTTTTTTTAGTTCCGAAGTTTGCAATTGCATCTGTTCATTATTTTTTGCTCTTTGTGAAATAATAAAAGACCTTTTCAAACTGTTACCAATATTTTGAATATACAGTGCACTCCCGATTATCCGGGTTAATCACCGGGACAGGTCGCATAGACAATCGAAAAACACGGATAATCCGAAAACTCCTTTTTATAAAAGATAAAATCAATATCAGTACAAAAAATATAAAAATTTCTGTTGCTGTATAAATCGCTGTATAAAATCAAACTAGTAATTTTCCATTCAACATTCGATGCTTAAAAAATGTGTGATGTGCCATATATTGACACATACTTTACGAACCGCAGTAATGTCACCGTAATCAAATTCTCCCATATAATCTAATAAAGTTTCCACAGATTGAAGAGAAGCATAAATTGTATTTCCCTCATTCCCTACATCTTCTGCATCAGTTACTATCATCACTATTTGATTTAACAACATAACGATGACTTCATCTGTCAAATACTGGAAACCAGGCTCACATGCATCACTTTGAAACCAATCTTCTAAATTTCCTTCATTGAGAATTTCTAAACCTTAGATTTCTTTTCTTTTGCTTGTTCGAGAATACTGTTATCATATTCTTCTTGAATATCTAAAGAAGATTGTTCATCAAACGTTATGATCTTTCTCCACGATCGTGATACTGTAGATAATTTTACCTTTGACAATGCTGCTGATGTTCCATATGCTGCAATCCAATTACAAATATTGCTTTCCAAAAATTTGGTAGAGTTATAACTTCATGAATCAGATTTTTTTAATCTTGAAAATGTTTCTCTTAATATTTTTTGTGTCACTCCGGAATGAGCACGGATAATCCGCAAACCGGATAATCCACGCACAGAAAATCAACAGTGTACTGTATTACCAATAAATATTTTTAAGTGTATTTAAATTAAAGGTTTTTTTTAACAATTAAATTATTTTAATCTGCTCTCAAGCCATTTGTTTTTATTTCTTGTATGGGATTGATGGGCACTTTTTTTAAACCAATTTCTATCTATTATAGTTGGCAGGTGTCATCCTTGCACCTTTTATCCAAGCATTACATGATACAAAAATGGTTGCTATTGTTCGCTATGTTTATTCTGCCAGATCTGCTCCTAAAATTGGGTTCTTGTCTCCTAAAATCAAAATTAACTATAGAGTAAGTTCATTTTTTTTTAATTCATTGAATTTATTCAATAAATATTTGCTTCACTGAAATTATAGAGATAAAAATATTACTTTACAGTGCCTTATTTTTATTGCATTACCATTTATGGAGGATCTACGTCATTTTATATTCTCTCCATTACATTCCAGTCCCAAAAATATTCCTACAGGTATTTTTTTTTCATTTTTAATTAATGATTAATCTTATATATATTTGTTTTTATTCATTATATCTTATTTTACTTAGATGAGCAACTAAGTGCTGTAGATGATTTTATCACTTCAATGGATTTGAGTACAGCTAATATGTATGCATAAATTTGATTGTCTACTATAATGTTACAAAATAATTTTAGTTGTTTAAATAATTGTTAGATGACATTAGTTTTTGTTGATTTAGTTTTTACTTTATATGTTAATGTATCTTAAAAATTTTAAATTAAGTAATGTTGCTTGAATATTGTTATTATTTAGAATGAAATATTTTATCTCTATCAACGTAATATCCATAGTTGAATTGTACGAAGGTTTTTCTTCAAAAAAAAAAATAAATAAATAAATAAAATAAATAAATAATAATAATAGCACTTTATATTATAACACCTATACTGTTGACTCGATTTCAATTTCCCTGTCAGCGCTGAAGCTTCAGTGTCGACACATCAAATTTTAACCTGATTGAAAATTTTTTTCCATCCATGTCAAAATCAGTTTTTCTTTACTTTATTCAAGGAGCTACAGGATAAGAACTATTTTTTTACAAATTTATCTATTTCACCAAAGAATGTAAGGATTATGAATAATCAAAATATTAGCAAATCAATTTTTTTTTTACAGTGACCTGTTTATTGTGTCTGTAATAATTAATAAATAAAAATAAATTGTTTTAAGTTCAGGATACAATTACTTTTTGTCCATATACCTAAATTTCCTTTCTTTATTATTTTTTTCTTACTTGTAAATTGTATCTTAGTTTAAATTAGTTTTTTTACCCTTGTTAATATAATAAAAATGTAATTAAATTTTTTTTCTCTCTACCATTTTTGTCTATGTACAAATTTTTTTTCTCTTTTTGTATTTTTGTAAGGGATGATGAGGGAAATCTCGTTGAAGCTCTGAAACCAAAAACTACTTACAATCCATATTTGCAAAGGCTATATCAGGTAAGGTCAAATTATTTTAGTGTTGGTAATTTGAAGTATATACAGTATAGTCTTGTATAGTCTTTCTGGACATAATTATTGCAAAGTTTATTTGTATAGCATGGAACTAGGACAAATAGTTTTATCAGCTATATTTTAGTTTATAAAGCTATATTTAACAATTTTTTTGTAATGATATATGATATGAGAGTAATAGTTAACTCTTGATGCATTGCATCTAACAGAAAATAAATGATAATTGCCCAATACTTCCTTCAAAAATCCCCCCCTTAAATGTTTTGAACATTTTGTGTAAATAATTTACTTTATTTTCCTTCTATCATTTCAAAATTATTAAAGATAGAAATTAAAAGATTTCATAAGAATATTTAATTAATATATTTGATTTTAAATTTGCTGTAGAATAATTATTAAACTATTGAAGTAATTCCTTGTAAAGACTTGCAGAAACTTGTAATTTTATAATGATTATGTAAAGTCTTTGAAAATGTTTCTGTATTTTGTTGATTTTATGTTTCTAATTTAAGAACTTTTAATAATAGAAAGAAAAAAATTATTACATACTGCTCAAATCCTAATTAGGATTTTTTTTTTTTTTTTTTTGTAGAGTGATTTAAAATATTTTTTGTTGAAAAAACCCTGACACGCAATTATTATTTTTATTCTTATTTTATTTTTAACAACTATTGTTATCTTTATTATTGTTACATTGTAGTGTCTGCAACATCGATCTCTATATCCTGAGAAACCTCTACCTGAAATTCCTCCTCAAATTAGCTCAATCATCAATCCACCAGAAAAAGTAGGATGTTTGTATTTAATAAAAATTTTGTCTGCTTTTAAACTTCCTAATCCTTCATCTGTTAAGAATTAATTTAGTCATATCTTATTTTTTTAGCTCATGAAAATGTCAGAGCCAGCTCTTTTTAAAATAAAGAGTGTTTTCCCCTTGAAAGAAACCTATCCAAAAAAAGTTCTTGAGAAAGGTGCTGCTTCCTTTATGTAGGTTTTTTGTTTTGTTTTGTTTTCATATTTCTTGGTGTCATAATTTTAATTATTAATTTGTTTATCAAACTGAATGATTGATTATGAGTGTTTTCTTTATATTTTATATAGGAATGTAATGAATAGTGATTTGGCCGAATAGCCGAACACCGAATATTCGGCCAAACAATTTGGCTAAATACCAAAAATTTAAAAAAAAATAAATAAATAAAATTCATTAATAAACATTATCTTTTTAAATATAAATAAGTTTTGTCATCATCGAAAAATAATCAAAACTTAGTTGTATTATTGGTATAAGTAAAGGGAAAAAAATGTTTAAGACAGCAAAAATAATTAGATATTAAGATAATTAGAAATAATTAAGGTAACAAAAAACTAAAGTTGAAAAAAAAAGAAATAGAAAATTAATATCTTAATTCTTAAAACAGTACTTTAATGCTAATAATAATATTTTTGAGAAAAAAAAAATCTATAAAACATTAAGAGAGATAATATGTCTATCAGAAACGCATCAGTTGGCCGAATATTTAGCCAAATATTCGGCGAAATGGCTGAATTGTCGTTACATCCCTATTTTTATAATCAACCTTTTAAATTTTAAACTTAGTGCTTGCAATGAAAATTCAGATTTTATGAACACTTGTTTTATGCTTGATATCTCAAAAATTCATCTACAATAGCACAATGCTTATGGCACTGAGCTGTCAGCTTAAAGCTCACATAACTTCAAATGTAACAATGTGTATGTACTATCTTGTCTGGATATTTAAGCTGGCCAATGTGTAATGGTAAACACATAATCACCATCATGTCTTTGGTCATGAAATTGTCGAATAAGCACTCCAGCTCACTTTTTTATTGAAGGTACAGCCAAAACTTTAAATGGAGATAAAGCTATTTTGTTATTTTCTCTATTATTTTATTTTCTTTAACTCCTTGGTATTTCATATATTTATTCTATTAAACTAAAATTTTAAGTCTTAAATTTTTTTTCCAGATGTTATATGATTGCTATATATGTGCCATGAGTTGGTATTTCATTCTTGATTATATCAATGTTCGTTGTATGTTTTTAAATATTTATTACTGTAATATTTGTTTATACATCATCAAAAGCACAAGTATTATAAAGTAACTAGTTTAGATAGAATTTGGATGCATTTTTGTTCATGAAATTTCTAATTGTTTTTCAGAAAAGTTGAATTGGAGTAATTAGAATCTGCATTGATTTTTATATAATAGTGTACATAATAGTGCATCTATATTGCTTTTTAAAAGAAGTGTATATAATAGTCTCTTAAAATTTTTTTAAAATAACATTTAGCTTACATTTTAATAAAGTTAACACTGACCAATATAAAGTATAATAACCTTCTCTCCCTTTATAGCTTTATTATTTTTTTTGTTTGCAATTCAAACATTTATTTAAATACATTTTTCTCTTCTTGATTTGTTATATCTTAGACCATTAGGACTGTCTAAATGGCTTCAAACTAATAAATTCAAAAAAAAAAAAAAATAATAATAATAATTTACTATTTCCTAAAATAAATGTAACTTTTTTTAGTAAATCTGAGAGTGCGAATAAAAAGAGAAAACTTGATGACAATGAAAGTGTTGGAATTGATGCTGTCGAAGATAAAGTTATGCAGGTATTACATTATTTATTATATTAGCTGTGATCTTAGATGTTTAAAGACATAATATTTGAAGATTATATGTGTTTTCAATGCGCATTTTTAACTTCTTTTATACTTATAGTAAATATTAATTATTAAATATTATTTTTAAATCAAAGGTTAATTAGTAAACTGAAGCCTTAGGTTACTTTCCACATCAATTTTCAGGGTGGTCACAGAACAGAAATATCAAGGAGAATAGGGGAGAAAATCAGGAATTTTATCATTCTGGAAAAATAGGGAAAATGCCAGGGCAATTAATTAAAACTGTAAAAAAGTCAGGGAAATAGAATTATATTGGGCTACCTAAAAATCTAATATTTTTAAAAAGATCTTGTTATGTCATTGGTTTTTAGAAAAAAAATATTATTTTCATTTCTAGTAGCAAGTATAAATGTTTTGCAATATACTTTATTTATAAGAATAAGAAATTACTGAAAAATTAAAAATAAAATTTATACCACCAATTACAAAAATCAGGAAAATTTGATAAGAATGGTCAGGATAACCAGGAATTTTTTCCTCGAGTACTTGTAGCCACCCTGATTTTGTCTATGGACTATTGATACACATTTTTACAAGTTGTAAGTGGTCATAATTGATCATAATCAGAAATGTACCAACTTTTTTTATACATATTATTAATCTTGCAATATTTTTGTATTTTATCTTGATCTGACCATCTCTTAGGGTGCACTAATTTTGATAAAGTTTCATTCATTTCTATATTTTTACAAAAGCCATTACCTGTTTTATTTTTTTTAAATCTGCTTTTTATTATATAAATTAAAAACTGATTCATTACTGTAGTACATAATTAAATCTGAATTTGTGTTGAGAAATTTTTTAATTGATTTCGATTAATGAGTTTTTCTGCCTTAAACAAAAACTGTTAATTTGTTTTCTTGATAAATTTGATGTGATATGAAGTGTTTTTTAGAAACAATATTATTGACTAAGACACGCAATATTCATGCCTAAAAAAAATCTCAATATATTTTTAACTAAGCAGACAATGCATCTATTTATATTATTCATTAACAAAATTTTTATATATTGCAATCTATGTTCTATTCCAAAGCAAATGTTCATTTTGTCAAAGTTTATAAAATCGTATCTTTTTAATAAAGTGACTTATTTTATAATCATTCAAAGTTTTGTTAGCAGTTTCTTCATTTACCTCATTTTTCATTCAATTCTGGCCCAATTAAAGTATTATTTGCTTGTGTTTAATAGAGGTCCATAAAGAACATTCCTTCCTGTTCTTTATTTCGATGATAAAATTTTAAAAGATTATATAAAAAGCATTGTTCTATTAATTTGCATTTTGTAATCTATATTTTAATATCACTGAAATAGGTAGGGTCTGCACATCCAGTTCAAGATTTCCAGTATCTATTAAAAACAAAAATGCTGTCATTTGGAGAAGGTATTTAAAATTTTAATTTTTTGTTTAAATCAANACAATATTATTGACTAAGACACGCAATATTCATGCCTAAAAAAAATCTCAATATATTTTTAACTAAGCAGACAATGCATCTATTTATATTATTCATTAACAAAATTTTTATATATTGCAATCTATGTTCTATTCCAAAGCAAATGTTCATTTTGTCAAAGTTTATAAAATCGTATCTTTTTAATAAAGTGACTTATTTTATTTTTAAAATCATGTAATCTTTGAATTATTTTATAATCATTCAAAGTTTTGTTAGCAGTTTCTTCATTCACCTCATTTTTCATTCAATTCTGGCCCAATTAAAGTATTTTTTGCTTGTGTTTAATAGAGGTACATGAAGAACATTCCTTCCTGTTCTTTATTTCGATGATAAAATTTTAAAAGATTATATAAAAAGCATTGTTCTATTAATTTGCATTTTGTAATCTATATTTTAATATCACTGAAATAGGTGGGGTCTGCACATCCAGTTCAAGATTTCCAGTATCTATTAAAAACAAAAATGCTACCATTTGGAGAAGGTATTTAAAATTTTAATTTTTTGTTTAAATCAATAAAATGTTTGCTTTGTACAAGGGGTGATCAAATGAAAAGGTACGAAACGTCACGGTGGGTACAAACGTAGACTTTATTCAAAATATACACCATAGGCCTGTGCACAGCGATCCCACTGATGAACAAGACGCAGGATTCCTTGTTCCCAGAATTCCTGTGGTCTTGACGAGACCCAGTCCTTCACAGCGTCCTTGAGTATGTCGTCCGAGTGGAAGAGCTTCCCTTTCAGGTGGAGCAAACACATGGAAATTGCAGGGCGACTAGTCCGGATTGTAGGGCGGATGGTCCAACGTCTCCCACTTGAACTTGGCCAGTTCCATGTGTGTGAGTCTGGAGACGTGTGGACGCGCTTTATCATGGAGAAGAACCACACCCTCCATGAGCAGCCCCGGTCTTTTGTTCTTGATGGAGCTGCGTAGGCGTCAGAGTGCCTCATAGTACACATCGGAGTTAATGGTATTTCTGTGCTCGAGGAAATCGGATAACACCTCGCTGCTCATCAATCGTCGAATTTTCCAACGCGAATGCCATCCAGTCCTCATACGGACTGCCGCATCATTTGGACGCCGCTTTTGATAAGAGCCTCTGCTCTCTCTTGCTCATGCGGGCACCAGCGCATGCTCCGATCCCAGTCAGAGACTCTAATCGCATCCTGAGATGTCTCGCTACGTTCTCCCATAGCGGAATATGCATATATTTAACTGTTACGTTTTTACGTCGTTTCGTACCTTTTCATTTGATCACCCCTTGTAAAATAATACTTTTTAGGTTGTAAAAAAAAATTATTCTCCCTCTAATATCAACTAGTGCAATCTTCTCTGTAGTATTAATTGATTAAAATTAGTTAATGTAACTTAAGTTTTTAAATTTCAATTGCAATTTCAAATTTCAATTTAAATTTCAAATTAAATTCAATTCTATTATTAGATATTAAGAATCGTTGAAAGTTCCGAAATTGTATAACTGAAAGGCAAATGTTAAGCGTTGAAATCTTTCTATGTTTATTCTTATTATTATTTGTAATCAACAGGTACCTCAGACCTGCTATTATATTACCCCTTCTCTTTCTTCTGTTATATCCTACTCTTTCTTATCTTTTAAAACCATCTTCATGATTGATATACTGTTTTATGTTATGTACCAGGAGAGAGGGAGTGAGAATTTTCTGTGTTATCTCTGAATTCCAGATGTTTTCTTCAATTGAAAAATCAGATATATGGGATACGGATACTTAGAAATCCAGATTTTTCACTATTCTACTATAACTTTAATTAATAAAAATATTATAATTATCAAAAATAATAATTTTGATTTATTTTGTTTAATATTGTGAAACTTATAAGTACAGCGTAATGTTCAAGTTAAGATATAAGAAATGAACAATGTCACTGCTAAAAAATCTACTTTCATTACAAATTCTTTAATATCAGACAATTAAAACTACTGAAATCTGTAGAATTTTTAGAAATTTCATTTAAGGAAATTTAGATTTGTCTGACTACTTTATTAACATGATTATACTTATGTAGGAAATAAAATTATCCAGGTATATCTATAATGCTTTATTAAAAATCTACTTTTGAGCCTAAAATAAATTATTTATGATTTTTTTTTTTTTAAAATTAAAATGTTATTTAACAGAGTTAATCAAACAAACTACTACTTTTTCTTTGCTGAAATCTTTTATTGCAACATATGATTCGCTGGAAAGTTGAGGTTAAAATTTGGATTTTAACATAAATATTTTTCCTTTTCTTTTTTCCCATAAAAAATATTAGCTGCAAGAAAAATAAAATACTTTTGTTAATTGGTATACAGATTATTAGAATTCTAATGTTCAAAGCCCTGATAAAAATCATCCGTAAGTTGAATTGATTGTACTTTTTTAGCTTAAATAAAATGTGACCTCTGAGCTGTTAAATATATTTATTTTAAAATCTTTTTTTTCTTTCTATAGGCTGAGTGCTGTTTACTAGTTCCTAACTACTGTCACTAGTCTTTTTTAGAAAGATAATTTTTTATAAGTGACCAAAGTCATTAATATATAGATATTTATAGTATCAGATACATGTTCCCTGTATTCAGTACTCTTAACAATAAGAAGTATTCAATCTTTTGGTTAACTTATGACTTTTCTTTTCAGCATGCAAGCAAATTATAGATATTGTGTACAAATACTTAGAAAACAAAGGAAATTTGCATCGTTACCACCCCAAAATTTTAGCCATATGCAAAGAACTAAGACATGCTTCTTTAAAGGTAAATTCAATACTATTTATATTAAACAATGTCTGCAATGTTCTTAGAATATTTTAGTTTTTAAAAACTTTTAGATATTGATATTAATTCTATTTTCAAACTACTATTTTCATATTAAAAATTAATCAGCATTGTACTGTGACTTAAGATACTCCGAAAAGTTATTTTGTTTGCAGAAAGAGTGAGAAACAGTTATGAAAGTTTTTAATTTCAGTATTATCAAATTAAGCTTGTAATTTTAATATGGCGGTTTATTTCCACTATTTATTTTTGCCATTTTCTAGAGAAAGGATACAACACAATATAATGTTTTTATGGCAAATCTTCGTGAGGAACTTCTGACTTGTGACAAAGAACTGTGGAATAAGATTAGGAAAGGTAATCAGTTTATAGTCTTATTTTAACTATACAATACTTATTTTACTTACTGTTATTCTTTTACTAAGATAGAATAATCTTATTAATGAAATTATTATATTTTATATATGGTATTATCATATATATTTTATTTTTGAAAGTTATCTTTATCTGAGGACGACATTTGGCGACAATCCTGTCTTCAGTCCATGTTTTCCACACAAATGACCCCAAGGTCTCCAGACCTTACACCTTGTGACTTTTGGTTGAGGGGCTATTTAAAGTCACGGGTATATAGAGGTCGGCCAACGTCTTTGGCCCAAAGAAGCTATAAGCCACTATGTGTCAGATATACCCTCTGAAATGCTATTTAACGCTATGCTGGGTGTCTTCCATCATCTGAGGGCTGTAATTCTTAATGATGGGAAACATTTAATAACTATAATGAGAAAACACTTTTATTGTTTAAAATAAATTGTAGTATAATTTTATAAGTCCATTAATTCAACTGCAATGCCATCTTTTAGTCAAAAATGTAACTAATATAAATATTTTTTTCATTAAAAACAAAAAAAATCTTCCGATGTTTCTGAGCATTTCTGTGAGAACTGCATCATTTTATTTGTAAATAGTTTACAGTACAATAATTTTAAGGTTTTAAAAAGTAAGTTGACTTTTGGATTGCCTAATAGTTTGGTACCACTGTAAGAATCTTAAGCAGAAAGCATAAAATTTGGCAACCATTTAGACATTGTATGAAATTTATAAATTACTTCTAAGTATGTTAAGTTATTATTTATAGTTAAATTTATTTGGTAATTATTTAAAAAAAGAATGTAAAGATTTTCCCACATTGTGGAGATGCTATTAAGTAAAAAGTAAACATTGGGTTCATGGTTTCATTGAGGTATTTTAGAACATTTTGAAATAGTGTGTCAAGTCTGGGAACACTTACTCTAAAAATATTACAAATCATTAAAAATGCAAATTTTGCTTTGAAAAGACAACCTTGTTTTTTCTTTTAAGTATTCTATTCTATTCTATAAACAACACTCAACTGAAGTACACATCTTCTTCACTTATAATACTATGTTTTCAGTTGCAGTTGCTAATGTGATTTGGGCAAAAATTTTCAGCAGAAATTTGCTGTTCCTAAAACAATTAGAAGGGAGTTAATTCTAGGAATCAAACCAGCTACGTTGTAGAAGTAAAAAAAAAACAGATAAATTTTTTTGTCAGAATACTGTTTTTTGTATATAGAGTTATTGCTTTAATTTTGAAAAAAGTTGTTGATTTAGTATTATTAGTTATGGTTTTATTTTTAGATAATGTTAAATTTCTTCACTTTTATGCTAAATGCTTTTTTTTTTTTAAATATATTTTGGTAGAAAAAATTGGTTTAATATCTAATAAAGAAGTTAAGTCAAGTACATTTTCTGCAAGTGAAGCTGAAAGTTTCCTATCTGTATCTTCTTTGGAAGAAGTAAAAACAAGTTTCCCTCCATCTGATGCTTATAACGACGATGATGATGATTACGAGGATTTGGTAATGCTTTGATTTATTTGGCTGATTTACTTTTATTCTATTATTATTTTGATCTCTGAAATCTTTCTTTTTAACAATTCTTCCCAATTTATTCTGATTTAGTTAAGTGTATTAAAATTTTTAGAAAATATTTAAACCAAATTTATGCCTGCTCAGCTGTGTTATTTTGAGTTTGGTACATGAAATCATGCATTATACTTGCTGATAATATTAATGCTGTCATTTGTCTGAAAGCAAAATGTCCATGTGGTTTATTTCAGTGAACATCCACAAGTTTTGTTATAGAGTGATATTAAAAAGTTCAAATTGATGTTCGAGTAAATTTGGTAAGATTGAAACAAATTTTAAAACTCAATAGCTCTTTTAATACAAATTGGAGCTAAAATGTAGTTAATAAATCATAAATTATGATTGATTAAGGAACTATGTGGCCTTCTAGACTTAAGATTTTATTGTACCCAATTTTCAAATAATTCGTTATTATTAAGCTCCTCCAAAACTTACTTTAGAGAAAAATAAAATACCATTAAAAAATAATCATATAGTTCAAATAGATAATTGACGATATAAATATTCATTATCTAAAATATTCTCAAGCAATCTAATTTCATCTTACAAATATAATGAAATTTTTCAGCTCTTAATTTAATATTCTCTGTCTTTAGGCCAATCATAGAAATTTTATAAAATGTGGTATTAATTTCATTAAAATATGCTGAAATTGCATTCATTAAGACATAAAAAAAGTTTCACACGTAAAAGGTATTTAAGATATAAAATGGTGCAAATATTCATCAAGTTTGTTTTCAAATCAATGGAAACCATTTAGTTGAACCTTAGTTTTTATGAAACTTGTTTTAATTTATTTACTGAAATTAGATTGTAGTAACTCTTATCGATCACAAAAACATATAATTAATCTCAAATAGAATAATTATACATTTTCAAAAAGTCAATAACTGTTTCAAGTTAACAAAAATTCAACAGAAAGTGTTTACTCCCACTGAATTACTGATATTTTATAGATATCTTCTGAACTTTTGATAATAGTAGGAAAATAAAATTAGTAAAAAATAAATGTCACAGTGTTAATAAAAAAATATTAATTGAAATTTTGTATTGAAATTTATGCACTTTTGACCAAAAATAGGTTAACATGTAATATTAATGATTTATTGGCAACTTTGATACTTTTTAATGAATTTTCTTTTTATTTTGCAGCTTGATCAGTTATAATAATGAAGAACTGCCCCATTTTAAACATGCAAGTCATTTTACAAATAGTGTTATAGAAGTTAATTTTTCTCATGTAATCAAATTTGTTTAGAGTTTTTATAAATTTATCTTTATTTTTATGTTGGAGTTTCTTTTATCATATATTACATAATTTTATTACTACTTCTTAATATTATAGTGTATTTTGTAAATGCACTTTTCTCCCTCAAATTTAAAAAAAAAGTGAAGTAATTTAAAAATAGTCAATGCAATGAAGTTAAAATGATCATTTAGTGGAATTTTTAACAACCTGTTATAAATTTTAAAAGATTCTACATTTATATTGTTGCAGTCCTTTGATATATATGTAGAAATGTAAATATCAATTGCATAATCATGAGTGATTTGTTCAAAACTTAGCATTTATCATATTGCTCATTTATTAAATTTAAACTACGTGACTAAATCGAACATTTTACAAAATTACATTTATGTTGGATTTGAGATGTATGTAAACAATTTTTTATGTATTTGCTTAAGAAATTTTTTACTTTATATATTCTTTAATACTTGTACTACAATGTTTATAATTTTACAAGACTTGATTTAGACCAAAAACTTTCTTTTAAATTACTTAAGTAGGCAAGAAATAAATAAATGCTCCCCTGGAGGTTTACTTTTTGGCAAACGCAGGTAACCTCTAGCGATCTTAATTTTTTCTTCCATTTTCATACCAATCTTAGTTTATTTTACCGATTTTGTAGGAAAATTGCCTATTATTCATGCCAGTAAAGCTTTATATATTGTTGTACTACTGTTATTGTGATAATAGTTATCTAATATAAAGTCTACCAAAAACTACACACCTCCTTTGTAATGTGAAAGGAAGTGGTAGGGTATTTAACCTTTAACTGAATGGTAACGTTCTAGCTTAAAAATACACAGCATAGCATAAGTGGAGTAAAGAGCATGTGCATACATATTCAAACTTGTAGTGAAACTATCTGAGAGATCTAAGGCTACATCTTATATATACGTTTAAGGTTAATGCCCCACCACTTTTTATTTTATTTTTTATAATGGCATCCTTGTACGTTTTCTGTTGTGGATAGAATTTTTTGGTCAGCTTTATTTATACTAATATAGATACTGTATTAATAGGTTTTTTACAACCTACAAAATGCATGAGTATCAATTTAATTTTGTAATAATGTTTGTATTTGGCAATTTTTAAAACAAATCAAAACTGAAGCTTTTTTTTGTAAAATTATCACAGAATAGAACTTTTTTATAAAGTTCTTTCTAATATTTATTTAAACATTTGTTCGATTCGTAATTACTTATATTTTTAATAGCTAATAGTTAAGCTTTAAAGAGAAGAGGTCGGAGAGGTATTTGATATCAATAAAGAAAAGGAATGCTTTTTTTCTTGCAATGTCAGTTTGTACAAAAGAAAGAAATGTTCAAATTTCTTATTTTTAATAAAATCTGTAAAAAAATATTAATTCTCAAATTTATTTTAAACATAATCCGGAGACAAACTTTTCTCAAAAAACATTTTATAAATCCAGTTTAATAATTAAAATTTAATCTTCCTTCTATTTGACAACTCCATTTCTGGTGCATTTCTTAATTTCACTATAATATTTTATACATAATACATACTAATCTTTATAGTATATCAGGTGTTTTCATTCAGTCAAAGGGGTGAATTCTTTAATAAAATCAAAAAGTAAATTGATTGTATTTAACAACTTGACAAATTTATTAAACCAGGTAAGAGTAAATTTTTTTTTCTTCTTTTAAATAAATTATACTACAAAACATGAAAGGGCTTTGTTCTATATAGCATTAAAAAATCATCAGTAAAATTTCTCAATAATTATTTCTATTTTAAGCAAGGGAGGATTTAAAATAAATCACTGCTTTTAATAACATTTCTAAAAAAACAATCATCTTTAAATTTATGTATTAATTTATAAGGTTTATCAGTTAATAAACACAATTAGATTTTTTTTACTAAGAAATGAAGAATGCAAAGGCATTCAAAATTGTAAATAAATAAAGTAAATAATTTAAAAAAAAAATTTATTCCCACTTCTAGTTCGTTTTAAAAAAATAAAATTTCATAATTTTCAATACCTAAAAAATATTAATTTGGTTTTTATCAAAATCAACTTATATATGATTGAACCCAATAAAAATGAAAGTCAAAACACAGAATTATAATTAATGAAATTATTATTAATAAAAAATGAGTATGACGATTTTTGCTGGTTGCATAAACTTAGATCTTTCTTCGAGTGAGCAACATTTTTAGATTGGCAACAAAGCACACAAATAATAAATTTAATTGTAAAAATTTTCAGTTGATTTATTTGAATGCTATTTACATCGAACTATTTACAAAAGGAAACTTCATTTATTAGATCATTTTTTTCTCTTTTGTGCTGATGGTCTGTCAAATACTTGTTTCATACCACCTGCTTGATTATGATGAAACTTAATGTTTTGGGCAGTCTCAGCCATCCAAGGGGAATCGAAGATAGTCGTGTCTTGATCCACCAAATGAGTGTACTTAGTACGTCCTGACCGGCCAAAGTTCTTAACCTATATCATTACATTAAAACAATTAAATTACTATAGAATGAAGAAAAAGTTAGCAATTATAAATTTATTTTTATGTTTGTATTGTTCATAATCTCAAGATAACAATCAGGAAGATCAGAGTAAAAAAAACTCAGATTCATCTTGAATTATGAATTAACATTGCATACGTTATTTATTTATTAATTTTTTTTACTTAAATTTGTCAAAACATCGTCATTTTAAGATAAAATTAAAAACATATTTTCTTAACAGGGATCGGACATAAAGATTTTTTAATAGCTTAAATTAATGTATGCCTAACCCCTTTAGTAATAAAAATCTGAAGATAAGACTAGAAAATCACATAGATGTATTTTGAGCTACTATTTTCTAATATGATTTACATAACTAGAATTTATCAAATTTTTGCTGCTTAATTTTAGATAGATAATTGTCATTCTTAAGTCATAATTTTTTTGCAGGAACTGAAATAATATTGCATTAAGTTCTTTCTGTAAAAATAATTTTGCGATGATTTTTTTTATCTTTTAAACCATTTAAAGGGGTTTCTTAATGTTCTTTCTGTAGATAAAGAATTGATAAGAGGCCATGTAAATAAAACTGAAAATTTAGTACATATTATCTTCTCACAAGACACTCCATCATAATTTATTTGAATGTAAAAGAAAAACATAAGCTCAATAATGTAATGTTGAATTTCAACATAGCAATTAATTTTATTATATTAAATGCTTGAGCTTAATAGTTTTAACCCTGAAAAAAAAAACTTTTTTTTCACATTAAGGGCAAAACGGAGTTCATAACAACCTTACTTGATTTTGTTAGAATGTTACGTCTACGGATATTTTTTTTATTTTTTATATATTATGATAAAAATGTAATAAATCAATATTTGACTCAAAATCTCATAAAATTTACAATTTTTTATTAGTATTTCCTCAAAAGTTTTTATTTTAAATAATAAAACTCTGAGTTGATAACATTTTTTATTAGTGTGTGAAATATCATTATGAAAGTAAATAAATCACACAAAAAAACAACATACTTTTATATTTAAAAGCTGTAATGATATTTCTCATAATAATAATAATAAAAAAAATATAGTTGTTTGCGCACATTAAATAGATCAACTATGAATTTTTTTAAAAAAAAGAAATATGTTACGAATAGAAAATTGAAATACAGCCCATAATCGAGCCCACTTTGCTGTGCAAAACTCACTTTCCGTTATTAAAATAAGTATAATCTGTTACTAAAATAAGTATAACACATTCAACATATGTTCAAAATAAACATACCTGCATCACTTTGGGTAAGATAGTTTTATCAAAATGATCTTCAAGAGTAGGAGCAGAGAAATCTCTCTTGTAGACATCATCTTCATTTTCCTAAACACATAAAAGTTTTCAGTATTACACTATGAATGATAAAAAATAAGGCCTAAAATAGCCTAACTCTATGAGTCTCCATTCAAGACCCCAGACCTATTCACCAGAGTCATTATTTAGAGGGAAATGGCATCATCTCTTTACTTAGCTTAAGAAATTAGAAAGGAGTGGGGAAAAAACTGCTCAATTTCAAGGTTTTGGGATGAATAAGCTTTTTCCAAGATATTTTGTTCATTTTGCCTGCCCTTGTAAGCAATTCTGAGTACCGCTAAACCCATTGTTAAGTAGTTTCTTCATCACGCCTACATACTTACGCTATAGTAATGCATTGTCAGCTTTAAAAAATTTTGTATCTTAATTTATAATTAAAATATTCACTTTCATTATGCATATATGGGTAATAGTGTCACAAAGAGAAAAACCCTAAAAATTTTAAGTCCAAAAAATCGATATCAAGTAATTAATTTATATAGCATACATGCTTCGTATTTAACATAATTTTTGTTGAAATAAGATTTATACTTAAATTACCTATAATTCGATGTGCCCTGCTCTTTTCAGAAGAATATCACACTTTTATAGTAACTAATTTAGGAAAAATCTTAGTTCTTATAAGAATCACGATGTTGGATTTTTAAAATAGCTTGAATATGAATTGTATTGCAATATTTGACTTTTAAATCAAGTGAAAACGAATCGCAATGCATAGCTTATAAATCACGTAAAAATATGAAAATCGATGTTTCATATTACAAATGTGTGAATACAAATCGCAATATTGGACTTTGAAAACGAGAGAATATGAATTGCGATTTTAGATCACAATAAATACAAATCGCAACATGAAACTTTGAAAATAGTTAAGTACGAAAATCGATGTTTGATATTCAAAGTGCAGGAATAAGAATCACAATATTAGTGGATTCCGGTGCAGTTTCAAATATTCAATATCCCTCAAACCGAAAGGTTAAAATTGGTAGGAGAATCGCGTGGATGTAAGCGTCTCGTTAGCAGGAATTGGCAAAAGTTTCAAAATTTGATTTTAGCTGAGGAATTACAGGAAAATTTTATTTGATTAGCTGAGTCCGTGAACCAATGGACTTGAGAAACGTGAAATTCAGAAATATTCCCCAAAAAACCATATGCCCTGGTCCTAATTTTAGACCCAGAAGGATAATACGAGAAACTTCCACGGAATACAATCACCCCTGTATATATCAGTCGTATTTTTGCAAGATTAACATAGTGAATTTTAAGATATAATCAAAATAAGTTGTAAAAAATTTGTAGACTGAATTCCACTTAACAAAGATATATCCTTAGACAAAGGTAAATGAATTTATATAAAAAAAACTAAATGATAAATAATTTGAATTGAGATAAAGTGGGAAATTTAATATTAAAAAAATAATAATGGTGAAAAACTGCACATTTTTTCGAAAATTTTCACCCACATAAATATTTTAAAGTTGCATACAATAAATTGAAAGAATGAAAAATACATAAATTTTAATAAAATAAGAAACATAAAAATAAAATAAGGAAGAATATATGTTCAAAAAGTTATCAGCAAGAACTTTTCTATGATAATCAATTTCAAATAACACCCAAAAATACCCTAAACATTTTGCAGGGATCATACTCTAAAAGAAGATATTTTTTTGCTGGCTTTTCCAGGTAAGATATACATGAAAGTAATTAACAAAATTTATATTTAATTTAATAATTGCAACTCTAAGAAAGTATTAATAAATTATTTTTATTTAAAAAAAAATTAGGTTATTTAAATAATGTCAACCCTGATAAATAAATTGTCAGAATAATAAATTAACGATAATAATTTTGCAGAACTCTAAACGTGACTGAATGGAAAATAAGACTAAGGTAATTTACTGGGCAATATTTAAAAAATAATAATAATTTTTATAAGTGGGAATATATTTCAAAAAAAATAAATAAGTAAATAAAAATATATAAATACTCTTTGTATGATTAAAGTTATCTAATCAACAGAAAAAATATTTTTGAAAGCTTGAGTGCAATAAACAACTATACTATAAAACAATACAGTACAAACTATAAAACAAAGCAAGCAATGCAAATTGTAAAACAATATATAAAATACAATATATTTCATACTTTATAATAAAGAAAAGGATAAAATACCGGTAAAACTTATTAATCAAATTAAACAAAAACAATTAAAATTACTAAATGGAAACGGTAGTTAAAAGAAGCTGTAACATATCAACTGAATTTTAAAAAAATCTTTATCTTAAAACTGATGAATAAGAAGAGCTAATTTGTTGAATATGAAATTTATTGGGAAAAAACGAGGGGGGGGGGACGCAGAACGTGGAATCAGTAATTTGTAAAAAGAGAAAGCTGCAACCTCCTTCAAAAAATAGTCGTCTGCTTTTAGTAATAAATAAGTGAATGTGTTAACTATTAATTAACTATCATCTGATTTTAACTATTAATTAACTATCATCTGTTTACTAAACAGAAAAAATATTATAAATAATATAGTAAATATTATAAATATAATATGATTTCTAATGAAAGCAGATGTGATTTCACATAAGGCGAAACTGGCAAATAATATGGCACCTCTGAGGAATTGGATTTCATTCAATTAAAAAAATTTCTTTCTTTAATAGGTACCAAAGAAAAAAGAAAGAAAGAGCAGATGATAAAAAAACGTTTTAATGTATTTTCTGAAGCTATAAAACAACGATTTGCCATAATAACCCTAGTAACAATTTTACATTGGCCCCAGTTGGGCTCAAAATTGGCAAATATGGGTCTCATAAGAACATGCACCAAGGGACCTATATTGAGATGTCTAGATTTTTCAATATTGGAACAAGATTCATTTCTATCTAGGACCAATATTGAAAAATCTAGACATCTCAATGTTAACCCAACATTATAAGTCTATAAAGGTCCTACATAGAAAATAATATTGGTCCATTATTGAAAGTCTTTCTAGGACCAACATTACAAAATATAGCCACCCTAATATTTGCTTGAGGCACACATGTTCAGATCGCACCCATGTGGGGCAAGGCTAAAGGACCTCACAGTGTCTGATCTAGACTGACTAGCAGCAGCACAAGGGGGTCAATGTTGCTATCACAAATTGCAAATCAATTGTTCACTGTTTTCTATTTAAAGTATGTGAGTTCCTACTGAGGTGGTCGTTTCTGTCAAGATACACGTGTTCAGATCACGTAAGAAAAACACCTGTGTAGAGTGTTTGTTGAAACAAGCCTGCCTGCGAGCAGCCTTTATGGGGCTAAGTTACCGACAATGTCAACCTTCATCTATTAGGAGGTAACTCAAGATAGAATCAGTTAACATATCTTATATACTAGGGAACTGGAATTTAAAAATTTTAGTGGTAGTTAAGCTACAGGCTCTATATCATAAGCCTACAAGGGTTCTATATAGAAATTAATATTGGTCCTATGTTCAAAACCATTCAAGGACCAATATTAAAAAATTTAGACACCCCAATAGAAGCCCTATATAAACCTACAAAGGTCTTAACAATAAATATTTGGTTAGAATATAAAGCCATTCTAAGACCATTGTCTAGAAATGTATAAGACCATTATAGACTTGCAATTAAGGACCAGTTTTGAATTTACATCTATTGAACTTGGAAAGACTTTATTTTTAATAATATCCATTTCTATAATTAGTTCTTCAACATGTGATTTACAATACAAACAAACCAACCTATAACAGATTTTTCTTTTTTTGTTCATTTTACAATAGTGGAAGTACAATATAAACATTCACCTTTTGAAAAGAAATATTTTTTCTTTGTTTGTCTATTAAACTTCTGATAGCTCATACAAAATTTTGGTAAAAGTGTACAGGATTGAAAGAAATTTTTTGTTTAGGATTATTTATTATAAAATAAGTAAACAATGCATAAATGCTTTGTCTTAAAACTCTCAGCTGATCCAACTATCTTGAAAATTAATTAATAGAACAATTAAACACACATATTTTAAAAATGAAAAATTACTTTTACTCATTATATGGCTTTTGGGGGTAATACTGTGCGATTTCGCTTAGAAAATTAAACGATGTAAGGAGCCTTATTCTTAATATTACAGGATGTTAAAAAAAAACATTGAGGAAAGCACTTATTATTTACTTTTTAGGTTTTATTTAACAACTATAAAATATCAGATTAATTGGCTAATTTTAAATAAGATTTACATTGGATGAATAACGTCTTTAAAATATTGGAATCATACAATTCTATATATGACATATTGGTTGAGTAACGGCTATAAAATATCGGGTGAATCGAACATTTCTATATTGGTTCAATGTTGGCCCTTTAAAACCTTGTTGAGCCAAGATTGGTGAATATTGGCCTAATGAGTTCCCAAGCTATTTTGCAACAAGGGAAATCAAAGATAACAAAAATTGAGAAATGAAAGTGGATTAAAAAAAAACCCAACACATCAATACTTTCAAGTTCTTAACTCAGATATCCAATTGAAAACACACCAAAAACGCTCATTCCTGGTTTTCAGGTAAAATTATGTTTTTCCCTGACTTTTTTTCGAATCTCATTTTCCCAGTGTGTATAAACCCTGTTTTAAAATTAAATGATTTTTTTTTATTAGGTGCAAAACTTCATTTTATTAGAATTTACATTTGTTACAGTTCAATTATTAAAATAGTTCATTCAGTCAAGAAACTTGAAATAAATCACTTGACACATTTATTAATAAAAACTACACGTAAAAATAAAATCTCCGAAACTTACCAAAAAGAAGGCACCACGATGGTAATATTTTTGAAGAAATTTGTATTTTCCTTTTGCTGCTTTGTTGGTAACCAGACGTGGATTGGAACGTTGCTCAGCCCGTCTTTCTTCTTCAGTCATATTGTGAACTCTTTCTATTTCTAATCTGTCTTTATCATAGCTAATCAAAACCATAATACAAAGTTAGTCAGAAAAAAACTTAAAGTTACAAGCAACATTCTGAATTTTAAAAACTGGAAAAATACATAAAAAAAATACTTACTAAGAAATGTAGATATTTAAACTACAGATTTAAATTATTTCAACCATAATAATTATCTGAGATACAAGTGCATTGTAAAAATATATATATATATCGATATCAAACTTTCAAATAATTATGATAGCCATATTAACCTTTTGCTTACGGTTGGTATAACAAGAGGACCAGAATAGCGGGCTTCATCATACTAAGCGCAGGTAAGCAAAAGGTTAAAAATGACAGGTAACTTAGAAGCTGAAAAGCTCACATTTAGTAAAGAAAGCATATGCTTAACTCTAAAGTATTGACCGTGAATAAGGATTTATTTTTTAAAATTTTCATATAGAATTAATTAAAATAGTAAATAAAATTATATATATAGAAAAAGGGCTCTTACGCTTCCTTGATATCTTTATGGCGTTTTATACGTTTTAATTCACGCAATTTCCAAGCTTCATATGCCGCCTCATCATTTTCATCATCGGTGATGACAAGATCTGATGCACATTTAACATCCTGTTGCTCCATCAATTCTTTTTTAGTTTCTTCTTCAACCATCTGATAAAGAAAAATCTTAATTCAGTTAAGAAAATCCATTTTCAAAAACTTTCTTAATATATATTTTCAAATATGTGAGTAATGCCATATGTTGTTCAGAGTTTTGCTTCAGGATTTTAGATATTGTAATTAAGACATATGTTGTTTGATGCTTCTAAAATAGCAACAATAAGCTCATAAAATAGCTAAAATAATAATTTAAACTACACAATACAATTATAAGCAAAGTAATTTATTGTACAATAATTTTTGTATTGTAATTAAATGCATGATAAATGAATATAATAATTGAAGAATAAGCCCACTAAAAATTTAACAGATTATTTATTTTTAAATCATCTTAAATTAAAAATTAATAAAACAAAAAAATTCTGAATTTTAAGTTAAAGTTAATGGTTAAACTAAAATTATTTGTTAAAGTTATGAACTCATCAGTCACCATGTATAATATATGTTATTTAAAATTTTTGCCAATTGAAGTTAAACCAATTAACATAAGTCTAAAATTTTAAAATATTTCCTACGTCATGTGAATAAGGGAAAATAAAGAAATTTTAGTTCTAATCAGAATTTATTAAAAATATTTCACAAATACTTTATTATTATCAATAAATTTAGCTTAATGAATAACCAGTTCATAGATTAAAATTTTACTGCAAATACTATACGAATAAAACAAAAATTAAGCAAAAAAAAAAGAAGAAGAAAAACAGCTTAATTTAAATCAAAGTTTCAACTTGAGATGTTATGTTATTCAAAATTTTCAGTAACTGAAATGCAAACTGATTGGCATAAAAACCTTAGTTTTAAATTATAAAAAGTCACTCATTTCATATGAAGAATTAAAAAAAATAATTATATTCCTGATCTGATTTGATTGAAAAACATTCCATATATAATCTATTCTATTAGCAAAGTAACCTTAGAAAATTATCAGGATAGTGATTAAATTTTTATGATAGCAGGGCTGCCATTGGCGACTAAATCGACTATTTTAAAGCAATAGCAACTATTTTAGTAGAAATATGAGTAAAAGCAACTAACTTGCAATGAGTTGCATCAAATCGGCGATTTTTTTAAAGCCAATTAGCGACTAAAATGAAGAATAGCTTCGTGAGTTTCCCTCTTCTCCCACTTTTTTTTTGCCGCGCATTCGTTTTATCCAAACTTTATTCTTCCTCACTATTTGATGTCAAAAGCAAGACAGACACGTTTAACCAATCAGACTAATGGAATTTAAATTCACACTATGTAAATGCTCCTTCTGCTTCAGAAAGCTAATATAATATGTCTGAGGATTACGTCTACCCCCCGCTTTTAATCTGAACGAAGCAGCAAAATTAAAAAAATTGTCTTTAATTACACAAAATGTGTAGTTTTTAGAGCGATTTAGAATAGAAAAAAAGGTACATGGTGATATTCGTTTTGTCCAATTGTGATAGTAATTTTTTTGATGAGCTTTAAATTTGGAAATGCGTCAGTTATGAAAAATAAACACTTGATAGATGAATTAAATTGCAATATTTTTTTTTAATGTCTAAACTAAGCAGCTGCAAATTAGAACCGAGAAAGGAAATTAGAGTTTCAAATTCACCTGTTCAGTAGCAGATAAAAATAAAACTCCCTGTATAGTGTGAAAGAATAAGAGTCCAGCAGTTAATTACAATTTCGGATCAGTTTGTTTTGATGTTCGGTTCGATTGAAGTTCGCAGGGACCGCAGACCTCCTATTTTCCCTACTTTTTCTATTATTTTGGCACTCTTCCTATTTTTTATAAATCCTCTCATTTCTGCTATTCCTTCTTTAAAAAGCATAGTGACAGCCAAGAAAATGGAATAATGACTCAAGGTCAAGTAACTGTACCTGTTTTTCAATTCATTCATTTTGAATGGGGGTATGAGGAGCAGAATGTGGTAGAACGTGAATTCTTTTCAGTATATCAGCTTCTGTGTCTGCATGCCAATTCTTGTTTAAATGGAGCAGAGTAGAAAAAAAAATCGCACAGCTTAATATTAATACACGCAGAAGGGATTAACAGTATTGAAAAAAAGGCTCAAGTTTTAATGGAGAAACATCAAGAGATGCAGTTGTCAGTAGACTCTTTACTTAAAGAAGGAAATGAGTGTTTAAAAGATGCCATTAAAAAAAATGATAGTGTTCAAATAAGAATTGCTCAAGGATTATTGGAAGCTGCTGAAAAATTACGAGTAACAGAAAGAGAACATGAAATTGAATTGGTTCAAATTAATAAACTTGTTCATAAAAGGAAAACAAATTTAATTAATTTCTGTACTAAAAGCCCCAAGAAAATGTTAAAAAAATAATAAATTTTGCATTTTATACAACCTTGTGTGTTTTTTTCCCACTTCATTTTCAATCACAAAATTCTTATTTTTAATTCATTTGTACCTATATAATAATTTTCCTTTTATATTATTTATTGTTTAAAATTATTTAAGTACTTTTAAAATGTAGATTTTGTTTATTATATGCTAAATTTTTATTTTATAGTAAGGTTAAAAAAAATTTATGTATGAAAGTAACTAAATTTTTTAATAATGCCTAAAATTTTTAGTCCCCAGCTTTTTTTTCTCAATGTTTTGTTTTAATTACAACTATTGATTTTTGTATCATATCTAAAGCATAAAGAATAAAACTAAAAATAGATATTTTTTAAAAATGTTTAAAAATTTTGTAAGTTTTCTACAACAGTTCCTTCAGCATTCCTCTATCTATATATTGTTGGCAAATCCACAAATAAATGTATATTTTTTATTAAATATGAGTATCTAACTGCATATTATTTGAATTTTATACTATTACAGCACAAATAATTAAAATAATGTTAGAGGAAGGTATGATGTTGGCAACTATTTTATATATCTTGGTGTTAAGAATATTCGTATCCAGCAGCGCCCCCTATGTAACCGGGATTAATGAAAATGATTATGTCTTGAGTGTATGTGTTTGTGTTGCGTCCTTATAAATGTTTCTAAAAGTAACAATTCGTTTGTCAATTCGAAAGTAATTAGTTTCGTAATAGAAAATTGATGCATCGGCCGGGAAGCCCATGGTTTGTTCGAATAAAAAATTCATTTGCAAGAAATAAAGAATGACGGCATGTGGGGTATGTTGTTTTGATTTGATACTTATCCATTTCGTATTGTGTTGAAAGTAGTTAAAAGTCATTGCATTGAAATAGTTTCGATTTGGACATTTAATTGTTTCATATTGTGTCGAATTAGGGTTTATGAGTAGGAAATTGTTGAAATGGTAAAATTGTGTTGTTTATGTTTGATATATATACTTTCGTTTTGAATAAGTACTAGTTTGAATAAGTAGTGTTTGCATTTACTGAACCACATATGCTTTAAAAATTGTTTGATTTGTTTGTGCTTATTAATATCTGAATAGGAATATAACTTTAGTAATTGCTGAAAAGAAAGAGTTAGATAAGTTAAAAAAGCAACCTCACATAGAGGACNTTAAAAATTGTTTGATTTGGTAGTGCTTATTAATATCTGAATAGGAATATAACTTTAGTAATGGCTGAAAAGAAAGAGTTAGATAAGTTAAAAAAGCAACGCACCTCACGTAGAGGACAGGTTACTAAACTAATTACAAAAATTAAAACTTGTTTAGATGAGCAGGGAATTGAAATCGATGAGTTCGAAAGTCTGTTGATCCAATTGCAAACCAAAGACGATCAAATCAAATCTTTAGATGTTAAAATAGAAAATCTTTTAAATAATGATGATATTGAATCAGAAATAGAAAAAATTGATGAATATAACGAAGAAATAGTTTTTACTACTGTTAAATTAAAAAACAAAATAAAATCGTTGCTATCGGATAGCGTAATTGAAAATAAATGTAATAATGTGCAAGAAAACCCAGTGAATCGTAGCGGAAATATAAGCGCAAAATTGCCTAAATTAAAAATTCAAACTTATTATGGCGATCCATCAGAGTATTTGAATTTCTGGAATCAATATGAAAATTCAATTGACAAAAATCCTTCTCTCTCAGATGTAGAAAAATTTTCATATTTATTTAGTTGTCTTGGTGGTGAGGCACTTTCTTGCATTAAAGGTTTTGCGATAACAGAAAACAACTATAAACCAGCTCTTAAATTAATTCAAGATACATTCGGTCAAAAAGATGTTTTAATTAACGCCCATATGTCTAAACTGTTGAATATGACCCCTTTAAAAATTTCGTCTAATTTACAGGAATTAAAGAANCAATCGACCACTTACTTATGTAAGCAATGAGTTAAATGAACCACTACCTCTCACACCATCCCAATTTTTATTTCCTGGACAGGAAATTCTTAGCTATCCAATTCATTTTACAGAAATTTTGAGCAATGAACCCTCGAATAAAGAAAATTTAACTAGACGTAAAATTTACCAAACTAGACTTGTACGTCAAATTTGGTTAAAATGGAAAGCTAATTATTTAATGCAATTAAGAAATGCACACAAATTTGTTAATCCCTTACCAGAAAAGGATCTGAAGGTAGGGGACGTAGTATTGCTCGAAGGAATAACGAAATCTAAATTTTTGTGGCCCCTTGGCATTATTGAAAAAGTAATTATTGGCCGAGATGGTCATATTAGATCATGCATTATCAAAACATCTAAAGGTCAGTATAAACGACCAATTCAGTTAATTTACCCCCTTGAAATAAATTAATACTAAAAGGTTTCATGTATCATTGCCTATATTATCCTTGTGTCATTATAATGTTTTTTCTTTCTTTATATTTTGTATTTGCATATGATTTAATATAATTTAATTTGTATTTGCATTTAATAGTTTGTAGTAATGTACTCTTAACAGAGTACAGGTGGGGTGTGTTAAGAATATTCGTATCCAGAAGCGCTCCAGCAGCGCCCCCTATGTAACCGGGATTAATGAAAATGATTATGTCTTGAGTGTATGTGTTTGTGTTGCGTCCCAATAAATGTTTCTAAAAGTAACAATTTGTTTGTCAATTCGAAAGTAATTAGTTTCGTAACACTTGGAGACTATTTTTCATATAAGATGTAACTAAAGCAACTATTTTTCTTGTTTTCATCCAGTGGCAGACCTGTGATAGTAACAGTATTAGTAATACATTATGGAATAAATGGAAAGGAATAAAAACAAGCTAAATTTAAATTTGACCTTGAGTGTTTGCCTTCTTCTGTCTTCAGCTTGACGCTTTGCCAATTGCTCTTGTTCCTTCTCTTTTTGAGCTTGTTGTTCTTTATCCTGAACTGTAATTCGATCACCTCTACATAAACAGAATTTAACAAAACATTTATGTCTTTATATTTTTACTGCAAAAATAAAAATACTTACAAATTATAATTAAACAATACATTAAAATAATGTATAAATATTTCTTATTAGTTCCCTTCATGATAACGAATCAAGGAAATACTTACTTTCGAACAAACACAGGTTTTAACCGTTGTTCAACTTCTTCCTCAGAATCAGAGTATTCTTCGTAATCAGATTCATCAGTGTGATCAACATCAGATTTTCGTTCATCATCTTCTAAATCTAACAATTCCTGGTAAGAAGAATAATTATATAAAAAAAATTATAATATCAAGAGGAAAATAAAACAGCAGATTTTATAACTAATATAAAAAAAAAATAATAATTGATATAAATCAAATTAGGAAAAATTATTAGCTTCATTCAGAAAATTGATCTTCATTCAGTTTCAAAAACAAGTATAAAGTATTTAATAATTTTTTTTTTTTAATGTTAAGTTTTTACTATATTCAACTAATTAGCATTTGAAAATGCTTTAAAAAAATTTCAGATTAAGCTTTTGTGAGCAAAGATTTATCTTATACTCATTTCAAAACTGAGACATTTCATACTCATTTCAAAACTGAAACAATTCAAAATTTTTTTCTAAATTAAATTGAGAATCTACTCAATTTAATTTAGAAAAAAAAAGTCAAGGGGATTAAATTTCCAAATTGATTTCCTTTGAAATGGAATTAAATTTCGATGAACAATCTGATACTTTTTGCGACAGATAAAATGAAATAATTTTTAAAAAATTTCTGAAAAACTTGAAAATTCTAATTTTTTAAATTTTTTTTTATTAATGTTTAGGATTTTCTTAAATTAAGGTATACAATTAATAATTTCAACAAGCCATAAATAAAAAGTGTTTGATAATTTCTAACTGAAATAATAAAAAAATAAGCCAATAACATTAAAATGATTTTATGCCTAAAAGCAAAAAATATAAGTTTTACTACTTACCTCTTCTTCTTGGGCTTTTTCTTGAGCTTTAAGTTTCAGAAGTAATCTCCTTCGTTCAATTTCCTGAAATTAAGTGAATGATTATATTAATAAATAGCATACTTAAATTTTTGGATAACAAAATAATATGTAGTAGTTAGAAAATTTATTGTAAGATTATCTAAATAGATTTCAGGGGTTGTTGTCAAATTAAAAAAATTTTTTTAAAAGAAAGAATATTTATTCTTTATTTACTTAAAAATTTTTTTTATTGTACTATACAAAGTAAAACAATTATGAAATAGCTAATTGGAGGAATGAGGGGTTAAGGCTCTGTAGCTTCAAGATCAATAACATGGTTGTGGCGATGTGGTCAACAGTAAAGGCACACAAGTTGCCATTACTACTCAGGCAAGCTGGTAATCATCAATCTGAAGCTAGATAAGATTGTATATACAGTACAGAACCCGTTATCCGGAAATCAGAAAACCGGAAGACCAAATAACCGGAACGAAATTCAATAAATTTTCCTGCCATTTTTTTAAAAAAAAATTTTTTTTCCTCATAAGATTTTAGGATTTTTCTTCCTTTTTTGAAAGATGTTTACTTTACCATCATTTTGGAAATAATCATTAGTATATTATTTCATCGTTTTTTCTTCTTTTTAAGATTATTTCCAAATATTTTTTTTTTAGTTGGATTTAACAATAAAAAAGCGGCTTGTTGTAGCGATTCAGAAAACCGGAAAAATCAGTTATCCAGAATAGCGATGATCCCGATCGTTCCGGATAATCGGTTCCCTACTGTATTATAAAGATAAAATTAAACCTTGTTTCAAAAATGTATATATTTTAAATTACCAATTATTTAGAACTGTGAAATATATTGCATAACTGACAGCACCTTGGAAAAAAAATCTTAAGATTTACTAAGAGTTTCTTGAGATCTGTGAACCCGCATTGCAGGTTCACAGGTTTCAGTGAATCAGCAAATTTAAAGTGCTTGCCTGTGAACCTGATTTGCAGGTTTCTTAGTGAGAGGGAGATTTTATTCTATACTGTAGGTTCATATGTTTCAGGAAATATAGGGGTCAGTTCATATACTTCATAGAAAAATGAATTAGCTGTTTAATTTTAAAAAAATAAAGATTTATAATTTTGTGGTTATAAGGACTAAGAAGTCTACATGTTGATTGAGGAAAAGCAATAACAGCACACACATTAGAAAAATTCAACAGTTATGAGATCAAGAATTTCTTTGCAATTGTGACAACTAACAATTTAGGTACTGACTTCATCATCTAGTTCTTCCTCTTCATCACTACTTTCTTCTTCATCTCTCCATCGAACAGGCCTCTCATCTGCTTCTTCTTCCTCAACAACCATCTCTTCAACTGCAGCTGGCTCATGAATGTGTCTGTGACGCTCAATCCTTTAAGAATATAAATAAATAAATGCTTTGTAAATATTTATTAAAAAGCTTACACAACCAACTTTTTTTTTGATCACCATTCCAATTTGACTAATTGTTCTTAAATTCGACTTAGTTCAGGGTGCATAGCTAAATCTTTCAACAAAAAATAAGTACTTTTTAAGCATTCAAGAATATTTTTAAGCACTACATACATTAACTAAATGCAAAATTATTTTCAAAGACTTTACATGATCATGATAAAATATCTGGATTCTGACAAAGAACTCTTATATTAATAATCTCACCCAACCCAGCTCAATAGAGGCACACGCGGAGACTCGACATTATTTCATCAACACGTAAAATGATTGACGCTTTCATACGCTATGGACCGACGGTACACAGAAATAAATTGTGGTTGAATGAATTGTGTAAACGTTGAACAATGTGTCTTTGCGTAATATGTGGCGAAAATCGACTTGGCAAAGAAAAAAAAATCTCATTTTGGAAAAGGGAAAATTAAGCACTTTCTAAAAACACCCAATGAAAAAAGCACCTTTAAAGACTCTTAAAAACAAAAATTGAAAATAAGCACCTTTAAGTACTTTTTAAAAATGCTACGCACCATGTAGTTGCAATTGTTTGAATCGGATATTACAGGTACTAACCTGTCTTCTTCTTCATCGTCTTCTTTATCTCGTTTTAACAAACGACGAAGTCTTGGATCTTGCTTGAGAGCTTCTTCATCATCAACTGGCATGGGTTCTGGAGCAGAAATGGGTTGTTTCTTTTCAAACGGAAATTCCTCATCACTATCTTCTTCTCCACTTTCCTCTGGAGCATATTTGGGTCTGTTGGAAATTTAAAAATAAAAAATTGTAAAGATATAAGTTATTTGGAAGAAGAGAAGTGAAATACAAAAAAATCAGTGTTAAAAAAAGAAAAAACCATCAACAAATAAATTTTAAAGAAGTTCCTTACGGACTATTTCCCAGTATTCATCTAGTGATGTTTCGTAAATACAAAACTTACAATTAATTATCATTTTCATAAAATCTGCAAACTCAATTATAATTCCTTTTAAAGTAAAAAAAAAAGGATTAGATCACAGATTGGGTGAAGATAACCTTAATAAAATAAAGTCTAACAATCAAATTTATTCGTAAAAAGTTTTTAAAAAATTCAAAGAAAAGTCCAGCTTTATGGAATCATAAATAAAATAATTTAAACATTTATGATAAAAAATATATAGATAATAAATCATTAGAAGAATTGAAAGAAAATTTAAATCAGAATAATGTAACTGAAATCATGCATAGTATATACAAAATGACTGAAAAATTAATTTTTTCTTAACAATAATAATTAAATAATATGTCAAAACTTATCTATGAAATATCCAATATGCACAACACATGAGTACTATAATATAACCAGGAAACCTTTTCCTATTGGTAATTTTATTTACGAGTACATAAAAATATCTAATATTTACGTTTAGTTATATCCTTGCAATAATATTAAAAACTTATTTAAACTATTTAATTTAGTTTAAAAAATATTATTTTTGATCAACAATTCTTAAACTTCTTAATCCTTAATTTAGTAACATCCAAAAGTCACTAAAACTTTTTTTGGGTTAAACTAATTTAACTGGGATAGAAAATGAAAGTTCTTTCAGTTCTGGTCTTTCAGGTTAGTAACTAAAATATATAACTAGTTTCGTCAAATTTTTACCGTTATATTTACAAGTCTCAATTAAATTTTTTTTTAAAAAAGTTCATAAAGCAAATTAAAATAAAACGAATTACAAAGAATATGTAAGAGCGTCATTTTTAAAGTAAGAACTGATTGCACATTGTGACCGCGCATCCTGCCAAGTGACATCGATTAAAGGTTGGTAACTCTTTTCAAAGTTCTCACTATGTCACCATTTTGTTTCACGCCTGTGCCAGTGTTGGTTATATCATTATACTGCTCTGTTTGTTACCATATCAATCAGTAATCCCGCCGATTGTTAAGTGTGTTCAGTTATTCGGTTTTTAAATGCAAAAAGAGTTCATTCAGCTGAAATTCACCATCAGACCACTGAGTTCTAATCACAATTTTTTTGCAAACTTTCATCTTCAGGTTTCCTTGCATTTACAACTGGTTTTTTACACTTAATTCAATGGGAAAGTAGTGTTTAGAAGGGAAATTTAAATTCAATTTTACTCAGTTATTCCACTTTTAGAGGGTCGATAATTAGCATGCTTATAAACAAATAACTAAGCAAATACAAATATTTAGGGTTAATAATTTGGTATTTTTACTGTAATTATAGCAGTACTCATATTTGTTCCTAAATAAATGAAAATAAATTAACTATTTTAATAAATTTCATTGTTCAAAAAAAACCATGATTTTTATTGAAATTATAAATCACAGCAACAAAATAATAATAAGGGTGAAGAAAATAATAAATAAAAAAAACAGTGTAATTATTAAACAATTTCCTCAATTACATTTGATTCCAAAATAACTATCATGGAAAAGAAAATTATGTAAAACCATGTATAGTGAAGGAAAAAGTATAGAAAAAGGAGAGCAATAAATAAATACCTTGGATAATCTCATTTTATCAAAGAGAAATGAAGTAATAATTATTATTAAAAAGTATGCATTGTTGTTCTGTGGCTAATCACATATCATAAATTTAGTTTGAAAGGTGATTCATTTGACAAATAACTATTACAATTCTCTCTAAACAATTAACAATGAAATGTACAATAACAATTATAGGTTTCACCAATATGAAATAGAACATTAAAAAATATTTTTTTTCTTATACCTTCTTCCAGAAACATATCTGAACACTTTCACTTTTTGCATAGAAACTTCCCCTGAAACAGTTGCAAAGGATTAAGTTAACATATGCACAAATTAATAGTGGATCCACATAAAAATAGTTACTAATCATTGACTCCTAAACTTTAAAACTACAATGGCATGAAAATTGAAACCATTTAAAAAGAGGTAATAAGGTTAGAAAACAAATAGTCCTTCCATTATAAACTACTTTAAATTATTTATTTCTGGGGAAAAAAAAGCTATTGTGCAGCTTTTAGGAGAATTCCTCTACACAACAGTCTCACATGGTGGCAGGTACTGTGGTTTTAACCTAAATAAGTCACTTTGGACAGGGAATAGATTTGTTTTGACTTTAGAACAGGTTAGCGTAAGAATCTTTGCTTTGAGGCAAATTGACTATGTCATTCCACCAATGCATCCTCATTGGAAATGTGTTCCCTCTTGTCCTCATAGCAGCAGATTGCTTCAGATTTTTAGCCTGGAGGAGTTCTCCTCAAAGCCGAACAGTACACAGTTAGAGCCTCGATAGTTCAAGTTTCCCATCAACCTGAACTAGCGAAGGAAAATAAAAACAGTCTTGCTCCCAAACAATGACCAACGTTCCCACAACACGTGGAACGATTACTACAATCAGTTTTACGACAATTACTGCGACCGAATATTGAAAAACATATTTGTGTGTTAAACACTGAAACANCTAAATTCTCCGAGTTGAAGTGGATTACTCAAGTTGCTTATTTGTCAGATATTTTATTTGAAATAAATAATCTAAATACGTCTATGCAAGGACGTAATCATACTATTATTGAATTAACTGAAAAAATTACATGTTTTAAAAATAAACTCAAATTATGGAGAAATAAGGTTGAAGTAAAGAAACTTGCTTCATTCCCGACTCTTAATTTACTTGTTGAAGACAATAATATTGATATCACAAATTTTGAAATGCAGAAAATTATTATTAATCATTTAGAAAAACTAATAGCAGACTCTGATCGATATTTCCCTGCGGACGATGTTTTCAAATATAATTGTGTTCGAATGCCGTTTAATTTTGATGTAAGTGATTTGCAGGAGGAATTTGTTAATATTAATCAATTTCAAGAACAATTAATAGAAATACAAAGTGACCAACCACTACGATACAATTTCTACAAAAACAATGAATCTTTATGTGCTTTCTGGTTAAAATTAAAAACCGAAAAGCCAATAATTGTTAAAGAAGCCCTAAAAGTATTATTGCCCTTTTCAACAACATATGTGTGTGAGGCTGGTTTTTCGGCTCTGTGTGTAATCAAAAACAATTACCAGAACAAGTTAAATCCTTTTACTAAAAACACTAACAGCTGCTTTATTATTAAAATTAATTTGCTTTCAAAGTATTTGAAGACAATTGCTGAATTCTCTGAATTAAATTGTCTGATCTAAAAAATTAATTTCAACTGAACTAAACACAAGATAAAGAATAACAGAAGTGTTTCTTTAAAAAAAAAAAACATGATAGTATAGGAATTTGATAATAATTTAATTTGATAACAATTTTTAATTATACAAATAGCAAAATCAAACATTATAAAAAATAAATCCAACCGATTTCAATACAGAATACATGATAAAAAGTATGTAAAATTACATGTATGTATAAGGTTCCTACCTGTAAAATGACAATTGTCATACGCATTAGCGACAAAATTGTCGCCTTGAAATATGTATAAAAAAGTAAGGAAAATTAGCTTTTTGCACCTAATTCCGTAGATTTAAAAAATAATTTGTTGTACCAATTCTTTTTTGTCTTACAAGTAGATTTGGTTTTAGTTTTAAAATTTTTCAAATGGAATAACTGAAAGTGTCTACTCTGGATACAAAAATTCTAAAATTTAAATGCTGAGATTTCAAATTTACATATGTACTGTGCTTTGAATTCAAGTACCTACTGATGGTATAATTGTTCATCAATAAAATATTATTTTATGCTATTTCAGAATTGACTTAATTTAGAACTTCGCAATTTTTAAATAATTTATTTTTAATGCAATATTTTGTTAGTTATTACTTACTCTGTTTTTCTCATTTATTTATTTCGCTTCATGTAGATCTATAGGTTGAATAGATTTACTAATATAATTTTTGCTTTTCTTCACTTAATTTTTATGAATACTAATTTTCAATCATTATGGGGTCATGAACCTAATTAGTTTTAGGGTGTAATAGATAGCAATTAATAATTTTTGATGCATACTATAATATGAATTATGCAATTGTGAAGTTCAATTTCTTTTCCAAGTTTGTCTACTATGTTAAGTTTTTAGACCAATAAATGAATATCTAGGTGGTCTAATTAGACCACTAAATGAAAATATGGTGGTGGTTTAATTTGACCACTAAATGAAAATATGGTGGTGGTTTAATTTGACCACTAAATTTTCCCTGCTGGTGTGAACCCAACTTATATAGTACAATCATACATATCAATAGCAGTAAAATAGTACCCTTTTCATTGAGGACAGGGATAGCTCCAGCTGTAGACTGAATCTGGCTCTGAAGTAGAGCCAGATTTGCTGCATTTGAAGACATGTTGCTAAGTTGGTCTAAAAGAGTATTAACAATGTAAATAGAAGTATAATTAAACATTTTCATAAATATGAAACATTCATTCGGTCTCTAATAAAAAAAATTACATTGACAATGGCTGAATAAACAAATTGTTTTAATTACATTATGAACAGAGATATATTTCTAACTCTTCTACAAAAGCATATTTCATGCATTGAAAATCAGAAACATTCCTAAAGAATAAATAGACTAATGTGTTTCTATGCTTTGTTTATTACATTAAAAAAAAAACATGGTGTGGACTTAAAACTTTTCTTTCTGTTCCCCACAACATCTAAGTGTTGCTACAGCAGTAGCAATACCCTTGTCAACAACTAAATGTGAAAGAGGCTTTGAATTCTGAACAGGATAAAAATTTTAAAAGAAATCGACTAACAAGCAGTTAATAATAACTTGAATATAAAAGCAAGAGACTGAATTTAAGCAATAACAAGGTGCATAGCCAAATCTTTCAACAAAATTGATTGATTGAATGTAGGGTTTAGAAGGCACAAGGTCCAAATGAGGACATGCTGCACCAAACATCTTTCAACAAAAAATAAGCACCTTTTAAGTACTTTTTAAGCACTATATACATTAACAAAATAATTTTCAAAGACTTTACATGATCATGATAAAACAACTAGTTTTTGACAAAGAACTCTTTCTTGATCACATTAGCCACCTGATGAAGAGAGAGAGATTTTTCAGTTCGATTTTAGAGGGAGGAAAATGAAGCCAAAAATTGAGAAATGCAGCAGAGTTGCATATGATAGTGCAAGAATAATTCCCAATGAATTCAGCTCAGTATATGCACAGGCGGACCTACAAGCATTTCACCAATCATGTAAAATGATTGGCAGTTTCATATGCTACATAATGACGGTAAGCCGAAATGCATTGTGTTTGAATGATTTGTGAACAGGGTGAATAGAACAATGTGAAAACCACACTTTTGCATAAATTCTCATTTTCAAAAAGGAAAAATTAAGCACTTTTTAAAAACACCTAATAAAAAAGCACCTTTAAGGGCTTTTAAAAAACAAAAATCGAAAATAAGCACCTTTTAAAAACGCTATGCACCCTCAATAAAAGAGAAATGTTTGCAATTTCAAATTTAATAATGCTGCAACATAAAACAAATCTATTGAAATTATGAAATTGAAATATTTTATTTAGGTAAATTTTTAATTCTATTTTTTATACAAAAAATATCAACCATGTTAAATTTTCTTTCGAAGTTGGCCTCTGTAATTTGAACTACTGTTTTTCACTAATTATTTCTATTAAAAAAAAAAAACTCAAAGAACACATTCACTCTATAAAAAAAAACCTAGCTATAGCTTTGATTATGAATGAGGAGAGCTAAGAATTATTATAAGTAATATGCATCATAAAATGTTTTGCCTAAGCATTTTTAGAAAGGCAGCCTGTCCTGCCTGCCCTTTAAATCCCTATAAATGCGCCCTTTTCGCTTTTTTGTAAAATAATAAGTTGCTATCCTTTAAAAACACTGCCTTTTTATTTTATTTTTTCAGGAAAAGGTTGTTTTCTTCACCATTTGTTTTAATAAAAAATCCAAAAGAAACATTAACCTCATCATAGGTTAAAGAAAACATTAGAAGTATTTTTTTTCTTTTGTTGCTATGTGGTTGCAAAAACAATCTTTTTTGGTTTCTTAAAAGCCACTACCAAGTTGACATCAAAATTAGGTGACCATTTTAGTGCAGGTACTGCAAAAAGTTTACTGCGTGACTTTATCTACATGATCCCAATAGATTTTATAACTTCACACCCTAAGATCCCAAAATTTTATTTATCTATCTTAATTAATACACATGTAAAGTAAATATTTTAACTTTTAAATATGTTATTTTTATTAAACTTAAAGTGTTTTTAAATAATGCCTACTAAATCTTCGTAAATAACAAATTTTACGTAAAATAGATTTGTAATTTATATGATGTTTTAAATAATGTAAAATGTGTAGAGAACGGAGAGTAAGAGTCACTAAGACTTTAAAAAACAAGAACACACAAATGATTTGTGATATTGAGCAGGCACTGTTACACTATTATTAACCTCGTAAGCCATCTAAATAATAAGTGCATCTATTGATAGACAAAATAGGAGAAGAATCAAGGCTTTTAATTACTTAGAGCTAATCAAATCCCTGCATCAAGGAAAAATAAGAATGTTACTCAATACTTCGATAACTATTTCAACCTTCAGAAGAAAAAAAAATGTCGATACAGAAATGAAAAAAAAATTTTTTTCTTCTTTATACAAAACTTGGAAAATTTTGCCCTAACAAAAACAAATTGATGGCATTGGTTCATCAATTTTTACTTGGACGGTAAATTATACATTCTGGGCGATGCATTACTTTTACCCTCCATCTACGATTTTTGGACTGCCTGCAGTTATAGCACTTATGTGGAATGGGATTTCCACATCCAATTCCGCGCCAGAAGGGATTTTCAAAATTTTAAAAAATTACATGCCATGTTTTGTCTAGAGGTGGCTACTATTTAAACTTTTCACGTTGGTCCCGTTATGTGATGCTTTTATTTTTAGTTCATGGGCCACTGCCCTGAATTCGCCAAAACATGGCAATTATTTTGGCATAGATACAGAAATCTCCCCAGAAGAATCATTCTGATCGGATAATATTTCTTTTTATATTACTAATTAATCTAATCTTAACAGGAACTAAACGAAAAATCAAACCTGCTCAATTTATTTCAATTACACAAAAATTCACTTCAGTAAAAGTCACAATATTTAAAAAAAAAAAGATTATTTTGGAAAAGTCTCCCCAGTTTTCCTTGAAATGAAAAATGCTTTCAAATAAAATACAGTAAATAGAAAGGGATTATTTTCGTATCGCATCGTGACATGTCACGCCAACTACAATCGTCGGGACATCTAAGGGATTTTAAACTTGCACATTTATTTTGATATCACAATACGGAATTTTTTCAAGACAGATTCATAAACTCATTATTATGATTCATAGATAGTTTAAACTGAGAAGTAAGGAATATAATGCTTCAATACACCTACGAAACATTCATTTAAAGAAAAAATAACAACAGTATTCTAATAAAACTAAATTTGAAAAAGAAGTAAATGAACCTACTTTTATTTTTCACAATGTAAACATTTATTGAGATGGACCAGGGTAGTAAGAGAACAAAACTCCATCTCAAACTGATTAATGAGTTTTCTCAGTTTAATTTCACAAATATTATAGGGCTTATGGCTATATATGCGTCGGTTTAAACGGAATGAACTTTTTCAAATATATGCATTGAAAAATGCTTTTTCTTTAGTTCGATGACAATTAAATTTGTATCGAAAATAGAAAGCTATTCCTTACTGAGGTGTTCTAAGGAAACAAAAGGGACCGTTTTTGTTGTATGAATTTATGAAAACTTTCATGGCCATTCCCACTAAATGCCGTTCAGGCATGTCCGATCACCATTGGCGATCGAAATGGGCTGCAGGTGGCGTAGAGCAGAACTCTCTACGTATGGCAACACCTCACATGCTTTCTCCACTAGCGTATGGAGAGTCATTGAGGAAGGAAGTACGCTAGTTTCTCTCTTGATTGTCACATAGATTAAAATCTTTTAAGTTGGAAAACTATATGGAACTGAAAACTGCATTAAATAGAGTTCTAAAGAAAAGCATCACGGAAATTTTAAAAAATATTTTTATGAAATAAAAAGGGAAAATAGTGCAGTACATTTCCTATACAACTGAAAATATGGGGCGAGGGAAGGGAGAAGGGCCAAAGGCATGAAACCGGTCTTTCCCCACTGATGGCGTATTCGAGAGTTGCGATCGCCAATAGAGAAAAATGAAGAACTTGATTGGTAAATCTATCGCAATAAATATGTTTCACTAATCAGGTTCTTATACTTCCTTCCTCAAAGGCGATCGGAAGTGAGCAAACCGTGTTCTGGGAGAATTGCAATTTAATGAATTTTCCACAGGAGAATATATTTCACCTATGAGGTACTCATTCTCCGGATTGGAGGGTGTGTGAATCACCTGCAGTGAGAATGACCCTAAACTGAAAGCAAAGCAAAGAAATGTGGGCACTATCAGAGACATATTGCACAAAACAAACCACTCACGTCAAAATTGTTCCAAAAAAAGGACGTGCTATAGCTCCATTCCATTAACAGCTTTAAAAGTAGGAAAAATCTGAGTTTTTGAGTAGCGAATGATTGTGTTGCGAATATTTGAGGGAGGGGAGGGGTAGACGAAAAAAGGAATATCTATAAAAGTACGGGCTATAAAAAGAAATATCTGATAAAAGGTCCAACTAGTATTAAAGTAAACTTGCTATCATCATCAATTTCAGGAACCGTGGAAACATTTTTTAAGCAAAAACGACACAATAATTTCAACTTCTCCACTTTTTCGCAAAGATTTTATAAAATGGTTGCGATATAAACTTCTCATATAGATGAGTTTTTTTTATTACAAGTGAAAAGGGTTCAAAAGCAATCATCGCAATTAATATCGCAATATTGCATGTAGTTTTCAGGAATGCCAGATTTTCTAAAACTGGCCAAAATAAAGACTGATAAAAAGCAAAAATTCATTAAAAGAGATTAAAATTAAATCAGCAACTCTGTCTAGCCTGTATCTTTCAGTTTACTACTGTATGTGAATACAAGGAATAGTCTCGCTCTAAATATGTATAATTTACAATGTAAGTCATTGAGCTATTTGCATTGTAATAATTAAGTAAGTTACGCAGGAGTATCTCCAGGTTTTTCTGAGAGGTACCTATTTTGTGAAAATTTAGACATAATTTGCGAAAATTAAAAATTATATTATGAATTCAACACAAAAATATGGATTTATCGTTTCTTGTGGGATACAAAAATAAAATTTTGAGAAAAAGTATTTTGTTAAACTACCGTTTTTCCTAGAGTTGAATTTGTGAAGGTACCGCTAAACGGCAGTAAATGTAGCCTGGACAGACCTGTTAAGTGAACGAAAATTTATTAAATAATACTTAATAAAATTAATAGGTTCGTTTTAAATGTATATAATTTACAATATAAGTAATGGTGGTAGTTGTAATGTAATAGTTAAGGAAGTTAAATAATGGAAAATTAATCAACTTTCGATCACTTGTTATAATTTTAGGTGCAGGTGACAACTCTGAAAATTATTAAATCCTGCTAAAAAATTGGAACAAAACGAAACCGAATTCTAGAGATCAAGGAAATAAAACAATTTTTTGATGTTTCATGGAAAATTCTTAAAGCACAGCGAAATTTCGAACTGCATCAAAGACTATACCTTATCTTATTTAAAACCTATTTTAGAACTTAACTAAAACTTTTTATTCATTTTTATTCTGTTAAGTTTGAATGATAATGCAATGAATTTAAAAAAAGTTTCTTTCATTTTTCAAATGACTCCAAGTCTAGGAAAAAAGTTTTTTCCTTCTGCTCACACTATTAAGCAACTTCTAAATGGATTTTAAGTTTATTAGCAATTTAGTGGAAAAATCACTAATTACCACTAGATAAGTGACAATTCATGTCTTCTCCTTCACACGCTTTCCATATTAAACCACAAAATAAGCACTAATTTTACCTAAAGTTCTTTTAAAAGAACAATTCCTTTTTTTTGAAAAAAGTAAGAAAATAGTAGTACAAGTGTTTAATATTAGTGTTTATTCAGTAAAAAAAATTAGGTAGTTTTCTCTCAACCATAATTAAAAATATAAAAAGTGGTGACTAATAAAAAGTAAAAATCTATTAAAAGGAAATAAAGTTAGCAATTTTTTGTAGTATTTTTTTTTAGTGTGCAACTGAAATTGAATGAAAAGATTATTTTCGCTTGAATGAAATATTTGCAATTTAAGTTATAGTGGTAATTAGGACTAAATAAATAAATAAAATGGAATTTTTGGTCACCCGTGGCATCCTTGCCCACACAGTTGGCAATATGCTCCGCTTTGCAAAAAAAAAAAATATTTTCTAGTTATAGCAAAGTTTAATTTATTTTGCTACCACTACGCATCAATAATCCAGAACAATTCATATAGCATACAACTTTGTTCAAATCTCACCACGAATTAGAGAATCCAACTCAATTATCACGTGGTGAGATTTCAGTTAAAGGAGAGAAAGTAGCAAAAGTTTTTAAGGCTGCTAAAATATGTTCAAACTCAACTTCCACTTAGGTCTAACAAAAACATTCCTAAGCTTTTTTTAGTCATATTTATATTCTCTTTGAGTTAGAAATTTTTTTGCAGGTATCAATCACTCAAAATATCTATATTTTTCTCGATTTCGATACCATTTTGAGACACTTTCCAGGCCGTAGCAACCATGGTTGGACAAGTGTGTATTTTTTTGAAGGGGTTTTTATTTTTGAAAAGAGTTCACAATTTTAAGTTTTATTCCAGTGTTAGAGAAAGAGCAATATCAGGAGAATCCTTTTCAATTTCTAAAGCATTTAAAATTTGCGTGTTTTTTTTTCATTATCTCCTGTGATGATACGTGCACACGAAAATATAAAAAATTGTGACCAATGAAAAGCAAAAATCTATAAAAGAGATTGAAATTAACAACACTTTCAAACATATTTCGTTTATTTTTCAGTTTGTCTCACTTAAATAAACGCACCTTGATCTTATGACATAATTAGACAGAAAAAAAAATTATGGGAACCAAAAATGTATTCATTCGATATCCAAACACATAGGATTAACACACTCTCTGACCCACCTGGACAAGGGAAAAATCGAATGAGTGAAACAAAAGGAAGACAGTGCCCATCCAAATAAAACTACTTCTAATAAAAGCTATAATACCTGCAGCATTTACAAGAGATTTGAAATATGTGATTATGCTTACCATTTACCAATACCTAGAGGATAATATCATCAACAGCAAGCTAAGGCTTCAATGATAGTAGCCTTAAATTCTATCACAAACTGAAACTCCCCCCTTTTTTTAATTACGGCCCTACTGAGCAGAGTCCCTACATTGTCTTGGGGATTGATGTTAAAGAATAGAACAGGCCAAGTACCCAGTTATTGAAGAACTACCAATATGAAGATTTTGTAATGCTGATTGAAGAATTACCATGTTGGAAAATCTGGCTTTTGCCACCCATCCTCTCTACAAATGACAGTAATTGCGCTCCTAGCATTTTTTATTTATTTTGGTAATTAGTAGTCTTCTTGAGACCCGAGGAAAAAGATAAGTTAAGTTTACTAGCATGCTTCCCTATCCATTATAGAATCTCCACCTTGCTGTTCATTGGAGAAGATTTCCTCTTCTTTTCTTCATCTATTGTTTCATTTTATCTATCCTACAAACAATTTACTATATAAAAGAATTAATCAGCATCTTAAGTTGAAAGTTATCCTTTAGTATAAGGGGAGCAAAAGAAAAAAAAAAGAATTTTGGCCGGTTCAAACGATTTTGTGTGCAATTGGTAAGAAGAAGAGAGAAGAAAGGAGGATTTATTCTCCTTTATACAGCAGGATGGAGGCTCATAAATTGTGTGCGAAGGCTGTACCTACAGTGGTCAACTTAGCCTGGCCAGCGCATGCGAAGTAAAATGATAATCAGGAGGTACGCCACCTGCGAACCTGTTGTTGGACAACTCTACATGTATGGTTGAGTACGCTGCCCCTCCCATGATTAAAACAAGGCATACGTATAATGTTGATGCTTACTGGCTGGCTATTTTGACTATTATCAGAAGTGGCTTTTTAGTGATGGGACACTTTCCCCCCTTTTTTTATTTATTCGATTCTTTTCCAGCACAGGTGGAGATGTGAGTAAATTACTCTTTGTGAACGTGTGTTTAAACATTGACTTTCTTAATACATTTGGTTGAGTAAAATACCATTGCGTTTTTTTTTCTACATTTTTCAAAGTCATATTTTAATATAAAGGTTAAAGTTTAATCAATGATATATGTTCCGTCGTGTTCGATGGCTTTTTGCCATTGTTCATCTAGCTTCACAATACTTCGTTCGTAAAAGGACCTATTTTTATTTGCGAGAAACTGAACAAGGTGCTGATTTACAACCTCATCTAAATTTAACATTACTCCAAGCAAGGAGTTTTGAAGAGAGCAAAATAAATGGAAGTCTGGACGACGCTAGGTCAGGTGAGTATGGCGGTTGGTGAAACACATCCCATCAAAGCTTCAATAACTTTTGACTGGTCGTCAAAGATGTAAATGGTCTCGCGTTTTTGTAATGGAACACTACTGCTTTACGATTAACGAGCTCAGGATG